GACCCACTCCCAAACTTCCAGAAACTTGTCTTCATTTTGAAAGATTGTTCTGCTTCGGGGTGATGGCTCACCCCCTCGTCCTTTCCCCTGGGCACCGGAAAAGCAGCTGGTGCCCTGCCAGTAGCACCGCAGGAGGGTTCTACACCTGGGGATGCGCCTGGGTGCACCTCTTGCCTGGTCAGCAGGTGGAGGACACGCCTGTTTCCAGCCCCAGGTGCCGCTGTGAGATCACTTAGAATAAACTAGAAGTGAGTTCTTCCGGGTTCTGCCCCCCGAAGCCCAGACTGAGTTTAGAACAAGCTGGGCAGCAGAGACACACAGGTGTAAGTGTCCATAGGGCAGACTTGGGACGGTCCCTGCAGGGGGCGGGGGCCTTAGGGTCAGCCCACCTTACAGCTCCTGGGAGCTGAAGAGAGAGGGTTCGCATTTCTAACAAGTTCCCGGGAGGTCCATGCTGCTGCTGCCTGGGGACCCCACTCCGAACCACCGGCTGCCCAGGAAGATGGGCAGTGGTTGCAGCAGCTTAGTCACTGTGACTGCTCCTGATCCCACGCATGAGATGTCTGTCTGCCGTCATTAGGGGGTGTCTGTCTGCCGTCATTAGGGGGTGTCTGTCTGCCGTCATTAGGGGGTGTCTGTCTGCCGTCATTAGGGGGTGTCTGTCTGCCGTCATTAGAGGGTGTCTGTCTGCCGTCATTAGGCGGATGTTTTATGAGTTCTGTGTTGTTGCCTCTTGGTGAAAAGCTAAGCTACATAGAAATGATTGTTAAAAGGCCACTCACATCACCCTCACGACGGGCTTCAGCACCAGTGTGTGGGGTTGGTGCTGTCCGCTCGTCACCCCCACCAGCGGGTGGTCCCCTGCACTGAGCACTTTCTCTCCGCAGTGCGGGAGCCGGGCGAACAGGTACATTCATAGCACTGAGCAACATCCTGGAGCGAGTGAAAGCAGAGGGACTGTTAGACGTGTTCCAGGCTGTGAAGAGCCTGCGACTCCAGAGGCCGCACATGGTGCAAACCCAGGTAACACACCGAGTGCCGGGCGTTCCCAGAAAACTGGAGAAGCCGAAACTGATTACTGACGTTTTCTCTGTGGGGAAGCAGATTCGCTGGGAAATGCTCATGTGCCTGGAAACGAAATTATGCAGCAGAAGCCGCTGTGCCCAAGGGTGCGCGGTATTTCAATGACCAGTCAGACTTTTGAGGTCTTTTTGAATGTCTCTCCTAATTAAATTATTCAAGTAATTTTTAAAATGTCATTTTAATGTATTCTTGCTTTTCTTTTTCAGGAACAGTATGAATTCTGCTACAAAGTGGTACAAGATTTTATTGATATATTTTCTGATTATGCTAATTTCAAATGAAAATTCCTGCCTTAAAATATTTTTTAATTTAATGGTCAGTATATTTTGTAAAAATCATGTTAATTTATTTCATAGTTGACATTAATATCCTTTCTGATTTCTTTGTATATATCTTGTTATGCTTTAAAGACCACTTGCTGTAAAGTTATTACGTCTTAAACATCCCCTTTTAAAAACTGGAATAATGTATTAAGGTCAAATAATACCCCATAAAATATATATTTCTGCTAATATCAGTAAATATTTTAATTTCTCATTAGATTCATATCATTTGATTTTTCACATTCAGCACCTCTAAATATTATACATTTTAATATGCCAAGTGTGCTTATACAAAATACTAAACACCACATGTATGAGAAAACAGCTGGGGACTCAGAAATCAGTTGAAAATTCACTTTCCTAACACTGATTTTACAGCCCTGAGCAGCAGCATTTTTTTGGAAGGCAAACAGTTCCTGAAGATACAAGATACAGAAGGCAATTTGTAAAGTCCTCAGCCTCAACCCATGTGGTTTACCTTTACGTTTTAAAGATCCAAGGAGACCTTACTACCTGAATCCAGGTGTAAAACACAGCACAGTAGTTAGTGACTATAGTGAGACTTAAATATGCATTTATTCAGGGCTGAGTCTGTGCCACCGTGGCTAGGTGACAGGTGAATACGCTGGTGGCCCTGTTCACCCTTGTCCTTGGATGCAGCCAAAGCAGCCATAGAGCGGCCCTCCTACAGCGCCACCTGCTGTCCATCCACCTCTGTGTTTGGCTCAGATGAATGCATTTCTCACCCCCCTCCCATTGGCCACAGCTGCCCGGTGGGCGGGGGCTGGACCTCAAACCACTTCCCATCCCAGATGTTCAGATGAAGCCCAAAGTCCAACACCCACAGAAGCAAGGAGCACATGCTTGGTAGAAAGAGCAGAACCCACAGGCAATGATGCTTGAAACTTTCTGAGGAGCATTTTGGTACTTAAAACCCTCTAGTAAAAGCTAAGACTGTTTGTAAGAAAAGAAATCTTAAAATCTAGATTTATACAGTTTTTTAAAAGTCCCACTCTTCGGTATTTAATTAAAGAAAAGAAAGGCTAACTTATTTTTGGATGGATACTACTGAGTCCTTGGACACTGGTAATAACGATCCCACTGCCGGGTAGGATTGGCTTATGGGGTGAAAAAAGGGAGGAGGGGTGAATGTAGAAAGTTTAATTGAGTAACTGATCTTTCTATGGCCGTTTGGTGCCTAGCAGATGAGCACAACATAAAATAGAAGACACCTGGTCTAACTTACTGAAAGCATTTCACATGATATCATTTGACATTTCCACTGAAAACTGATTGCACTGTTTCTCCGAGCTCATTGCCAGTGAGCACAACGGACCCTGGGCTGGGCTAGGTTCTAAGGACAGGCTCACAGGTAATCAGGTTTCTGCCTCTCCCCGGCGCCCCACCCAGGGGCCAGAGCAGGCACCCAGCTCAAAGGACAAAAGCACAACTTTGTGAGGGCTGCCGTGCCCCCAGCCAGCCACAGCCCTGGGCGGCTCGCTCCGGCTGAATGCAGTCTTTTCTCCCTCTCCGAACAATGAGTCCGCACTTGAGTCCAAGAGGAAAATGCAGGGAGCTTTGCAAAACCTGCCAGTTGACCCCATTTTTTAAAATGTTTTTTTCTAAATTGGTATTTTAGAGAGAGAAACATTTGTTTTCATTGTTAAAATCCCAAGCCCAGAGACTTTCTTTGACTAAAGGAGCAGAGAGACGGCAGAGTTTTCATTCAACACCAATCGGAGAAACAGAACTGGCTGGTTGTGACGAGGGCTACTAGTCATTTATTTGAGAAGTCAAAGTTGAAGGTCACGGATTTGGGTCCCAATTTAGGAGCTGTCATCAGATTCCTGCACGTCCTTTAATGGTCTTCCCGGCATGTCCAGTGTAGAGCCGAGGACCTCTGCAGGGTGCCCTCGGGCAAGTGTGCCCCACCGGTGTTCTCACCCCCGGGGCCATCCCTGGTGTCCACTGCAGATGTCCTGGGGCCATTTGGCCCTTCCAGTTCCAGAAACAAGGCAGAAGCCACCGTCCCTTGGACACAGGCTGCCTCCCCAGGTGGGGGGCAGCCAGCCTTTGCCTTTCAGGGAGGCGCTGTAAGTGCAGCCTCCTGGCCTCTGCCCAGGCCCGTCCAAGCGTCTTGGTGAGCACTCGGGGACTCGCTGCCTGTCTGTGCAACCCAGACGTGAGCTCTTCTTCCCCTTCAGTCAAAGAAAGTCCCCTGTACATAAAGCAGCACCATGCTGACCTCAGTCCCCCTAGCGTTTTTCTACGTTGCATGCAGTTGAATCAAATGCCAAATAGTGATTGGAAGACCCCCGTTCTGATCTGTGCGCTTTATCAGTCACCGTGTGACTCACTTGACTCTCCGTGTGCTAATGAAGAATGCATACCAGTGTTTTAAAAGGTATTTTTATGTGTTTTTAAAACTTTTAAAAATGAGCCTAATATCTGTTTCAACATTTGGAGACATGCCCACGTTATTTTTTCAAATGTCTGATGACTGATACTTTTGTTTAACTATGTTGTTTAATTTACGTGCAATCTTTATATGTATGCATTTGTGTAAACTATCAGACTGTCCTTTATTACATGTATCATTTGATCTCGCTGATAATGCCACTGAATGTCGCTGAATTCTTTGTATATGCAAATTGCAAGGTCCGATGCAAGGATAAATCTTTCCTGACTCCCAGCCTGCGTCTTTCTTTCAGGCACCCATTGTATTGCATTCCTGTGCCGGAAGTCCTTATAGACAAGATGTTCATGAGGTGAACACTGATTTATAGACAGTTAATTCTAGGATGTCTGCAGTTCGGCTCAGAGCTGGCGTAGCCCCTCGGGTGCGGGTGGGCACAGCGGCCAGGGTCCAGCCCAGCGCTCAGCCGGTCCTCAGGCCCGAGTGTGCGGGGAAGCACCGGGTCACTCGCCGTTCAGGGGTCTGTGCTTCCGCTCCCGTCCAGGCAGGGACCTGAGCTGAGCCTCAGCTCCCCGAGGATGTGTGTGCTTCCAGTCCGCAGTCAGGTGGGATCAGAAAGCCCTTGGATGTTGCTTTTCCTCCTAAAATCTAAACCCCACCAGGCCACCCTTGGCACATCCTATGGCTCTGGTTATGCCCAGCTTTAGGAGGGTGTTGTGTACACGCATGTGAGTATATGTGTGCGAATGTATGTGTAATGTTGGGGGTGGGTCTTACCTCAAGGCAAGAATAGGCTGATACTTAGAGCAAAAAGTATACCAGAGCCTATGGAAGCTTGAAGGCCAAAAGGTAAGTAATGTTCCATGTCCTGAGAACTCCCCAGCAGAGGGATGTCCCCCACTTGGACTGACGCTAACACCCACAGCAAGTAGGTGTGCATCTCACAGCCTGTTCTCACATAGCTAGCCTGGTTGGATGGTTAGTATCTGTGCGAAGTAAGAGTGCGAAGTGAAGGATGGTGTGTTTTCAACACGTGGGGAGCCCTGGAGGGAGTTCTTCTCATCCAGACCTACAGCCCCAGCCTCCCCTCCACCTGTCACTTCTTAGGACCTTAGACAACACCGCAGGCCGCCCAGCCCTGCACCTTACGCACCGAATGACGGAGACAGACACCTAAATTCAGTGACAAAAGTTTATTTTTATGCGAACCTGGCTCCATGCCAGACATGGGACAAGAGGGGACAAACAGGAGCTCGGCCGTTACACTGGGGACAGGCACCTTCTCGTCTTCCATCCTCACCTCAGCCTGGCAAGGCAGGTGAGTGGGGAGGACTCTAGACAGGCGACTGTACCGAAGGCGTGCTCCTTGCTGACTTAAGGGACATAGAGGGACAGGAGGAGCACAGTGGAACAGAAGATCAGGTGCCAGCAGTCGGATGGGCGTCTAGACCCGAAACAGGGAGGCCTGGGCTCGCAGCGAGAGTGCGGGCCTTCGGGGAAGGCCTCTCGTCTGGCGCCGTCGGAAGGGGCCTCGCGTTAGGCCCCTCATGTAGCTCCCTGTGCACGGTGGGTGCTGGGCACCCGGGAGGCTGGCAGGTGCCGTCAGAAAAAGCACAGGTGGGCCAGTAGAAGCTCGGAAAATGTACATGGCACAGAGCACAAGAAGCTGAGGGGGGTCAGAGTGGGAAGCTAGTGGCACCCCGGCCGGTGGCGGGTGGCTGGTACCCTTCCTAGATGAGCAGCCCTAGTTCAGGCAAATGCTCTTCAAGTGAAAAGGGCACAGTACCAGTCAGGCCTCCAGCGCAGGGTTCCTGTACCCTGAAGATGAGGTCACAAGCCATCTTCCGATTCACTTTCATTCTGAGTGACGGACAAGGACACAGGAGGGGACTGTCCTGTGCAGATAACCAGCACCCCAGCGCACGGCCCACATACCTCCGCCGCCATGAAGAGGTATCTTGTAAGCACCATGAATCTTCACGTGTCCATCCCTAACGCTCCCTGAGGGCCTGCCCAGTGTGGGGGCGCAAGGATAGAAGCCCCTGCCTGGGGGTTCTGCTGGGGGACACAGACACACACAGACGCATTTACAATGCAAGTGCTAGAGCCCAGGAATGGGGTCGACCAGGAGGGCCGACTTCCGGGCTGCATTTGGCAAAATGGAAGGACACAGCTTGGCTCAGACTCCCCACCCACCACCCCAGCTTACATTTTTATCACTTCAGGAGACCCAGGAGACCCCCTTCAGAGCCTCCATGCGGGTTTTGAAGTAGACCATTCAGTCAGAGATTTATAAAAGCTTTCTTCCCTTAAGCACCCGGATAGCCTTATTTACAGAATTCACCTTAAAACTTACAGCGAACTTACCGCTAAACTACCCCCCCCCCCCCCAATGTCTTAGCTAAATATCTTCGCAGCCCCGGCGACTCCTGGTCCTGATTTTCTTGACACATGCGTCCTCGTTCTCCTGTTTGGGAAGAAAAGTGCAACTCAAGTCACTGACAACTGCGGTTTTGTAACCAGCTCGGTCCCACCAACACCCAAACCCTCCCTGCAGTGACCCTTTCTAGAAGTAATTTGGAGATTGGAGGGGAGCTTGAAAATATAGGGTTGGGGGCAAAAGGCAGGTTTATAATCATGAGCACGCAAACCAGAGTATATTCTCGTATTATTATTAATTACTGTATTATTTCCATACAAACAACTGTAACCCTCTTCCCCCACCCCCATACCCTGTGAAAGTTACCTTTGTTCTTAAACTGTTTTGACTATTTAATTTTTTAAACTTAAATATTTCGGTTTTTGGCAGAAGTTTGTAACCTATTTGTAAGTGAATACAGAATTTAAATGTCCCACACCAGCACATCGAGCCTCACTAATGCAGAGCCACCACCCAGAAAGAGCAAACTCAAGTGCCCAGTCAGGACGAAATCTCCGGGTCTTCTAAGCAGTCCCCGTGCGCAGAGGGCGGCCGCTCAGCTCAGCACTACAGTGTGGGACCCAGGCCACCTGCTCATCCTAAAATCTAACAGGCAACAAAAGGTGACTTGCCCTTTCAGAAACGGTGCCCAAAGCCCTGTTGTCTGTGTCGCACTTACAGGGAAGCAGCCAGGGGTCTGAGCCCCCACTAACAGCCCTCAACCCTCAGCCCTTCAGAAAAAGCAGTTACCACCAAGGACTTACTTAGTTTTAAAAAAGGCTAAACGCATTGATCCAATGTGGTCCTTAAGGGGGCGCAGGGGGAGAGGGGTTTGGAAAAACAAAAGGCAAGAATTAAAAATCTGCCCTGGCCGGTTTGGCTCAGCGGTTAGAGCGTCGGCCTGCGGTCTGGAGAGACCCGGGTTCGGTTCCCGCTAAGGGCACGTACCTCGGTTGCAGTTTGTCCCCGGCCCTGGTTGGTCGTGTGGGTGGCAGCCACTCGATGTGTCCCTTTCACATCGATGTTTCTCTCTCTCTCTCTCTCTCTTCCTCTCTCTCCCTCCCACTCTATCTGTACAAAAAATGGAAAAATATCCTTGGGTGAGGATTAAAAAAAAAAAAAAAAAATTAAAAAAAAAAAAAAGAATTAAAAATCTAAGGTGGAGTGTGAATGCGAATGACCCGAAATACGTGAACAGCGACTGAAGGTATCACCTCCTCACAGTGCAGCCCACAGGGCCATCACAGGACCCACTCAGGAAGAGGGGCCCAATGGAGCCTCGCCCCCTCCCAGAAGGCAGAGTGAAATCCACGTTACAGATGGCAGAGAATGGTAAACATGCGGGCAGATTTGTCATTCCATCCTTGCTGGCCAGTCAGCTGCTCTGTGCCTGCTCCCTCATGACTCTAAGGGGCAGTGACATTCGATGCCACCCTGGGTGTGAGTGGACCCACCTCAGGGCCTTTGCACCAGACAATGGTTCATCAAGCAGTAAGTTCACCACGGGTGTCAGAGCAAGAGGCCAGCGTCTCCCACACAGAAAGGGAGCGTTCGCCCTTTTCTTGTAGGCTGGCAGAAACAAGCCCGCCCAGAACTGATGGAACGCAACCATGCTCCGTGGATTTACTCCAACGACAGGCAGGCTCATGGGTGCCGAACAAGACGTGACAGCAGCAGTCCTCACCATCCTAGAACTTAGATAGCATGTGACCCAAGAGGGTTGGGGACTCTTAGGAGTGGAGATGCCTGGATGCATGCTAGCTTTCCAAAGGAACCCCTTGGGGAGCCGGACAGGACCACCTCTGTGCCTTAGTGAGTTCTGCTGGACTAAGGAGACTGAGGACCTCCACCGATGTTAGCACTGGGTGTGCAGAGCAGTCAGAAAGAACGAGCTGGACGAATTCCCATCCCCTGACCCCTGTCGCGCAATGTGAATTCCCTGTCCAAGCGAGAATCCCCGGGACATACAGCACTAAACAGAGCCACAGACAAAACACATGCTTTCGACTCAAGCTTCTTCCAGGTCGTATCCCTGGGAGCCTGTGACTGCACACACTACATGTGCCTGTCTTGGCGACAGAAAGCAAATGTTACATGGAAACACTGTGCTCATAAAAAAGCGAAACAGTAACCCAACTTGCCTGCTTTGACTTTTCCGCAGGTCTCTTGGCACGGCGAGTCACTCGCTGTTCGGGCTGACTCTGCACAGTGTCCCCGGTGGGACGGACCATCACCTTCCTTGATCTCAAGCGCAAGGAGCCTGAACGTTGGGCTCCTTCCTTCTCTTCCTGAGTCTTCACCTGGGTCTCCATTCTCTCCCTTGCTTTCTCCTCGGCTCCACTGGGCAAGGGCACCTTACCTCGCCTGCCGGGTCTCAGGCACCTTCTCCTCTCATGGACTTTGTCCCCAGGTACGGAATTCGTGGCTCCGTCTTCCGGGTTTTGAATCTTCACCTCTTGGGAGGCATTCATAGGCTTCTTTTCGTTCCTCTTTATTTTGACCTTTTCTGCTGACACAAGAATCTCAGGTCTTTGCTCAGCTCTGTCAGTTTTATTGGGGAGCCTGGAGCGCAGGGACATTCCCTAAAAAATTGAAAAGACATCCACAAGATACCAAGAATGAGTAATGCAAATATGAAAATCCAACATGGAGAAAAAAGTCGAAAGTAGACTCAAAGAGGAACTCATCAGGACATTTTACATGAGGTCATTTCTAAGATGCCAGTAACCTCTAAGATATTCACTTGTTCCTATGGAGAAAGCACCGCCTTGCCTGACCAACCACAGATAAGGAATTTGGTATAAGTCGCAGCCATTCACTGCCCCTCACTTAGGCAGCAGATGAACGCCTACTGCTTGAATGACCGCTAAAGCTGAACGAGTCTCCTCTCCCCACAGGAGAAACTGCTGTCGAACACTCTCGACAGTTGACAGTTAAGTTCTGCTCAGGACGCCCCCTCCCTGGACAGTGTTCTACTGGTTAGGTCCCTACACTCCTGGCTATGGGACCTGTCCCCTTTTCTCTGCATCTTTGAGGATGAACACACCCTGTCCAGTTTCTGAGAAAATCTTGTCAAGATCTGCAGTGACATTTTTTTTCTAGTATTTTCCCCAAATTAGCCCAGACTCATTATAAATCCCCAAAGGATTCTTCATCAGGGTCCCCAGTTACTCAACAATGACGGCAGGCCCTTTGGGAAGGGGTACACACGTAAACTCCAAGTTCCTTACAATCTACACCAGTTGCTCAGAAATGGAGACCGTCCCCCCAGAGCGACAATGACCAATGCACTATCACCTTGTTTGAAAAGGTCACGTCTTCTACATCTCGGACCATATTTTTAGTTTGCACGTCCTTGCTGGGCACGTCTGCCACAGGCTCGGTACTTTCTGCCCAAACTCTCTGCCTCTTCTTCAAGGGCCCAGGTGGCTCACTCCTGTCTGTCCCCTGTCTCTTCTGCAGTGGCTTCTCCTCTGCGGTGCCCTGTGCACAGGTCCTAGTGCGCCGACTCCTCATTCCTGGGGGACTTCCATCTTCGCGGCTCCTCTCGGGGGGCTGGGAAATGCTGCTCTCCCTCTGTGATTTGACAGGCTCTCTGCTGCCCACCAGGTCTTCCCCGGGCTTTCCGTTCAGGGCCCTAAGGACTCTTCTGGGTTTTGCAGGTTTGCTTTGGTCTGGTGCTTGCAATGAAGTTCTTGGAATGCTCTCAGCCCCTGTGTCCAGTTCCTTGTCTTGAACTGGGCTTGGCAAGAGCTGTCTGCAGTGGGCCGGGCCTTCCAGGGGCTGGGCCTTCCCCTTCCGTGATCTTAGCTGCCGTGTGCTGACCATGGCGTTTTCCACAGGACCCAGCTTCTGCCTTGGAGATTCCTTGAACACTTTCAAGTCTTTATCAGCCATCTCTGGTCCTCTGTGGGAAGGTGTGGGTTTCCCCAGTGTGCGTGTGGGCCTCCTGGGTGCTGGAAGCCCTTCCTCCATGTCCACCTTTGCTGGCGGTGCCCTGAGCTGTCTCCTCATGCGCACTGGCTCGATGACCAATTCTGGCTGTGAGGATTCAGAGGGCATTTCGTCTGTGTGACCTGGTATTTGGAAGAGCTCTTTGAGATGGGCAGGGTCTTCCAGGGGCTGTGACTTTTCCTTACGTGTTCTTGGCCTCTTGCTTCCAGTTACATTTTCTGCAGCGTCCAATTTCTGTCCGAGAGATTCCTTAAACACTTTGACATCTTTATCAGCCATCTCTGGTCCTCTGTGGGAAGGTGTGGGTTTCCCCAGTGTGCGTGTGGGCCTCCTGGGTGCTGGAAGCCCTTCTTCCATGTCCACCTTCGCTGGCGGTGCCCTGAGCTGTCTCCTCGTGCACACTGGCTCGATGACCAATTCTGGCTGTGAGGATTCAGAGGGCGTTTCAGTGGTTTTGACACCAGTCACTGGTTCGTCTGTGTGACCTGGTATTTGGAAGAGCTCTTTGAGGTGGGCAGGGTCTTCCAGGGGCTGTGACTTTTCCCTACGTGTTCTTGGCCTCTTGCTTCCAGTTACATTTTCTGCAGGGTCCAATTTCTGTCCGAGAGATTCCTTAAACACTTTGACATCTTTATCAGCCATCTCTGGTCCTCTGTGGGACCGCGTGGTTTTCCCCAATGTGCGTGTGGGCCTCCTGGGTGCTGAGAGCCCTTCCTCCACGTCCACCTTCGCTGGCGGTGCCCTGAGCTGTCTCCTCATCCGCACTGGCACAATGATCGATTCTGGCTGTGGGGATTTGGAGGGCATTTCAGTAGTTTTGACACCAGTCACTGGTCCATCTGTGTGACCTGGTATTTGGAAGAGCTCTTTGAGGTGGGCCGGGTCTTCCAGTGGCTTTTCCTTACATGTTCTCAGCCTCCTCTTGCTTCTAGTTACATTTTCTGCAGAGTCCAATGTCTCCTTAGACAATATAACTTTATCAGCCATCTCTGGTTCTCTGTGGGACTGTGTGGTTTTCCTCAATGTGCGTGTGGGCCTCCTGGATGCTGAGAGCCCTTCCTTGTTTCTACCTGTGGGCATGACAAATGGCTCTGCGTGTGGAGATTTGCAGGGTATTTTGGTTTTATCATCAGTCACTGGTTCCATGGTGGGTGTTTGGAAGAGCTCTTTGAAGCCATCCAGGTCTTCCATGGGTTGGGCCTTCCTCTTGGGTGTTCTTGACCTCCTCCTGCTTCCAGTTTCATTTTCTGCTGAGTCCAGTTTCTGCTTTGGAGTTTCCTTAAAGAATCCAGTGTTTTTATCATCACCTTCTGGTTCTCTACATGACTGTGTGGTTTCCCTTGGTGGTGGCTTCCTGAGGGCTGAGAGCTGTTCCTCCACCTCCACTTTCCCCAGAGGTGTCCTGAAGCGTCTCTTTGTGCTGGTTGGTGTGCTGACTGGCTCTGCTTTTGGAGATTTGCAGGGCATTCTGGTGGATTTGTCATCAGTCACTGGTTGCACAATGTGATCCGGAGTTTGGAAGAGCTCTTTGATGCCGGCCAGGTCTTCCATGGGTTGGACCTTCCTCTTGGGTGTTTTTGACCTCCTCCTACTTCCAGTAACATATACTGCAGAATCCAGTTGCTCTTCTGGAGTTTCTTTAAATGGCTCTCTATGTGAGTGTGTGTTGTCCCCTGGTGTTGCTGTGAGCTTGCTGAGTGGTGAGAGCTGTTTCTCCACATCCATTTTCCCCAGAGGTGTTTTGAGTTGTCTGGTGATGCTGGTGAAAGTGATGGCTGGTTCTGGTTGTGGAGACTGGCACACTATTCTAGTGGTTCTGTCATCAGTCACTGTTTCCACAATGTGATCCGGAGTTTGGAAGAGCTCTTTGATGCCGACCAGGTCTTCCATGGGCTGGACCTTCCTTTTGGGTGTTCTTGACCTCCTCCTGCTTCCTATTATATTTTCTGCTGAGTCCAGTTTCTGCTTTGGAGTTTCCTTAAAGAATCCAGTGTTTTTATCATCACCTTCTGGTTCTCTACATGACTGTGTGGTTTCCCTTGGTGGTGGCTTCCTGAGGGCTGAGAGCTGTTCCTCCACCTCCACTTTCCCCAGAGGTGTCCTGAAGCTTCTCTTTGTGCTGGTTGGTGTGCTGACTGGCTCTGCTTTTGGAGATTTGCAGGGCATTCTGGTGGATCTGTCATCAGTCACTGGTTGCACAATGTGATCCGGAGTTTGGAAGAGCTCTTTGATGCCGGCCAGGTCTTCCATGGGTTGGACCTTCCTCTTGGGTGTTTTTGACCTCCTCCTACTTCCAGTAACATATACTGCAGAATCCAGTTGCTCTTCTGGAGTTTCTTTAAATGGCTCTCTATGTGAGTGTGTGTTGTCCCCTGGTGTTGCTGTGAGCTTGGTGAGTGGTGAGAGCTGTTTCTCCACATCCATTTTTCCCAGAGGTGTTTTGAGTTGTCTGGTGACACTGGTGAAAGTGATGGCTGGTTCTGGTTGTGGAGACTGGCACACTATTCTAGTGGTTCTGTCATCAGTCACTGTTTCCACAATGTGATCCGGAGTTTGGAAGAGCTCTTTGATGCCGGCCAGGTCTTCCATGGGCTGGACCTTCCTTTTGGGTGTTCTTGACCTCCTCCTGCTTCCTATTATATTTTCTGCTGAGTACAGTTTCTGCTTTGGAGTTTCCTTAAATGGTTTGATGCTTTTATCGTCATCTTCTGGCTCTCTATGTGACTGTGTGGTTTCCCCTAGTGTTGCTGTGAGCTTCCTGAGGGCTGAGAGCTGTTCCTCCACCTCCACTTTCCACAGAGGTGTCCTGAAGCTTCTCTTTGTGCTGGTTGGTGTGCTGACTGGTTCTGCTTGTGGAGATTCGCAGGATATTTCGGTGTTGTCATCAGTCACTGTTTCCATAAAATGAATGGGTGTTCGGAGAAGCTCTTTAAAGGCGACTAGGTCTTCCATGGGTTGGGCCTTCCTCTTGGGTGTTCTTGACCTCCTCCCGCTTCCAGTTTCATTTTCTGCTGAGTCCAGTTTCTGCTTTGGAGTTTCCTTAAACGGTTTGATACGTTTATCATCACCTTCTGGTTCACTACGTGAGTGTGCGGTTTCCCCTGGTGTTGGCTTACTGAGGGCTGAGAGCTGTTCCTCCACCTCCACTTTCCCCAGAGGTGTCCTGAAGCGTCTCTTTGTGCTGGTTGGTGTGCTAACTGGCTCTGCTTGTGGAGATTTGCAAGGTATTCTGGTGGTTCTGTCATCAGTCACTGGTTCCAAAATGTGGTCTGGAGTTTGGAAGAGCTCTTTGATGCCGGCCAGGTCTTCCATGGGCTGGACCTTCCTCTTGGGTGTTCTTGACCTCTTTCTGCTTCCAGTTACATTTTCTGCTGAGTTCAGTTTCTGTTCTGGAGTTTCCTTGAAGAATCCAGTGCTTTTATCATCACCTTCTGGTTCTCTATGTGAGTTTGTGGTTTCCACTGGTGTTGCTGTGAGCTTCCTGAGGGCTGAGAGCTGTTCCTCCACCTCCACTTTCCTCAGAGGTGTCCTGAAGCTTCTCTTTGTGCTGGTTGGTGTGCTGACTGGCTCTGCTTGTGAAGATTTGCAGGATATTATGGCGTTGTCATCAGTCACTGGTTTCACAATGTGAATGGGTGTTCGGAAGAGCTCTTTGAAAGCGACTAGGTCTTCCATGGGTTGGACCTTCCTCTTGGGTGTTCTTGACCTCCTCCTGCTTCCAGTTTCATTTTCTGCTGAGTCCAGTTTCTGCTTTGGAGTTTCCTTAAACGGTTTGATACGTTTATCATCACCTTCTGGTTCGCTACGTGAGCGCGTGGTTTCCCCTGGTGACGGCTTCCTGAGGGCTGAGAGCTGTTCCTCCACCTCCACTTTCCCCAGAGGTGTCCTGAAGCGTCTCTTTGTGCTGGTTGGTGTGTTAACTGGCTCTGCTTGTGGAGATTTGCAAGGTATTCTGGTGGTTTTGTCATCAGTCACTGGTTCCAAAATGTGGTCTGGAGTTTGGAAGAGCTCTTTGAAGCCGGCCAGGTCTTCCATGGATTTGACCTTCCTCTTGGGTGTTCTTGACCTCCTCCTGCATCCAGTTACATTTTCTGATAAATCCAGTTTCAGTTCTGGAGCTTCCTTCAATGCTTTCATGCTTTTGTCACCACCTACTGGTTCTTTGTGCATGGGGGTCATGTCCCCTGGCGTCTGTGTGGGCTTCCTGAGTGCTGAGAGGTCTTCTATGGTCACACTCTGGGAAGGCGTCTTGATCCGTGTGCTCATCTTGGTTGGTGTGCTGAATGGGTCTGGAGATTTGCAGTACATCATTGTGGTTTTGTTTTCTGTATTTACCGGTTCCTCACCATGACAGGGAGTTCGGAGAGAACTGTGCATGCCCACCAGGTCTTCCTTGGATTCTATCTCTTGCGATCTCTTGATGGTGACCACGTCTGGTCTTGGTACACATTTTGGCTCTGAAGATCTTCTTGATCTCCTCACAGCAATCAGCTTTTCAGAATTTTCTTTTGGTTCGATATTTTTCTTACAGGTTTCAAAGGATCTCTCACTTCCCTCCATCTCTCCCTCTAGTAGTTGTGCTTGTACTGCTGATTTCCTCAAACATCTGCCCAGGATGTTCTGAGCTGTGTCGACTTCTTTGTCTTCCTTTTCACTCTCTGCTCCCATCATCTGTATGGTTCTGAGCTCCGCAGACCTCCTGGATTTGTTTGCACCGGATGCTGCCTTCAGTGGCTGTTTCTCCGATCGTGGAGTTCTCGTATTTTCATTTACTGTGATACACTGCTGTGTGAAGGCCGGGCTTGAAGACTTTTTATCCCATGACTCTTCTTGTACATTCTGAGCCCCAGGGAACACATTCTCTCCTATAAGAAAATAAAAAACAATGCACAATAAATATCTTGTTCTCATTGTGTTGTCCCAATCTGGTATTATATCCTCATAAACTATTGTATAAGAGGCAATAATTCACCCTCCTCTCCACCATACTAACAATATGAGTCTGCTTAGGTGGCTATCAATCTATCTGACATAGGAACCATGCACATTTAGGAATAATGTTCATTGGTGTTATGGAGTAGGGTCATACATAGGTGGTGGTTAGAATCCACAGGGATAAAAGAAGAAAATTCCTAAAGCAGGGTCTCCTTAGAGCTGTCATGCCATATCTCAGTGACCTGAACACAGACATATTTTCCTTCAAGCACGAGAAACAGCTGTTTCTTCTTCTGAACCACCAATGCAATAAACATGGCTTATACATAGTCCACTCAGTATCCACGTTATACTGAAAACATCTGTTTTTTAATTTTTTAAATCTTTACCTGAGGATATTTTTTCTATTGATTTTTAGAGAGTAGAAAGAAGGAAGGAAAAAAGGAAGAGAGAAAAATCGATTGGAGACACATTGGTTGGTTGCCCCTTGCACGTGCTCCAACAGAGATCAGGGATCGAACCTGCAACCCAGGTATGTCCCCTTGACTGGGAATCGAACCCAAGACCCTCCAGTACATGGGCCAATACTCTAACTACTAAGCTACACCAGCCAGGGCTGGAAACATCTAGTTTTTAACTATAAGAAGCACGTTCAGTACAGCAAGGTGTTCACTCTACAACACAAACTCGGTACCAAATGAGAGCAAGACAGGCTCGCGTCTCCCATCTCACATTCACACAGGGGCACACTCTCATCCAGAAGAGTAGCAGGAATAATTACATAATGTCCACAGTTACCTTTCTCATTGGCAATTTGCAATCATTTTGAGTTTGAATAATTTACATATAAGAAGTATAACAAGAGCATTACACTATCTGCTTATCGTCCTCTTTACTTATAATGAATAGAGAAGGTAAAAGTATACACAGGTGGTTTATTATTAAAGGAATACCCCTTTTCATTCAAGTCACTAAATGCCAGTGCTAGTTCAAATGCTGACAGGAATTTCCCCTAAAAAACAATAGAACAAAGAGCTGGAAATGGTATTTTATCAAGAGTATCTGTTGTAAAGAAATAATACAGTATCTATTACAAAAACAACAGCATCGAGAGTTCTACGGAAGACATCAAAAGTGCTAGAGAAAAAAAAGTAAACCAACCAAAATGTTCTGGGGTATGTAGCAGAGGTTTTTCTTCTGAATTAGATACTTGAAACTGTTTTCCAAGCAAGTCCTCTGAATTTGCAAAAGTGGTGAGACATATGCTCATCTTCCGTGGCTTCTCTTTCCCCGGGGTCTTGAACATTTCAGTTAGCCCTGTTATATGAACATAGTGGGGAAGCAATGAACAGATCGCTCTTGTATGCAAACAACCACGTCAGTCCCCACAGACAACTGAGGAATCGCTCCCGAGAATTCCTGGGGGAGAGGGTCTCAGTGGAGAGGGAGATGCATTAATAATAAACCCATTTTGTTAAAAGAGGGCACTGGGACCTTAGAATGTTATAGGTCCTCTTCTTTGCCTTTCCCCTTGGAAAGAAAAACAAACAAAGAAAGTTGTCTCAGTCACCCACGGTTGTGCCCAGTTGTGAGAACTGGCTACAGGACAGAGGTCACCCTCGGACTGCTCTGCAGGTGTCCAGACACCTAGTGACCTTGTGCTGTCTTCAAAAAGTCTGAGGTTATGCAGCTCTGGGTATTATGTACAAATGAAATGTCCCCAAATTTTAAAAATGACACAGGGCTGCCCATTTTTGGTACTGTCAGGTAGTATCACCATCTCTTCATTTTAACACCAAATAATAGTATTAATATAATCTCAGGGGAAAAAAGAAACTCAACCCAAGCAGTCCTTTAAATGGAAGATTTCACTTTCTAAAAAACTCGTATTATCCCATATTCTACTGAGTTTTCATATTCTGCCATCAATGGATCAAAACAGCATCTGGGACTTGTCTGCAAATTGTGTTTGGGAAGCCTATTTGGAAGGCCCTCAAACCAGCCAACTCAGTGAAGAATCCCTCTGCCACCATTCAGGCCTTGCTTTAAACACCCAGAACTCAGTCTACAGCACATGCTGGTGTCCTGTCATGGGAGTTACACCAAGGGGAGGATGTCGGTGACTCTGAGAAAGTATCTTGAAGGCAGGCTGAGAACACCCACCGTCTTGAGTTTGCAAATGCCATTTGTGTGATCTTAAAAGTATTTATGAAGCTTTGTTGTCAATGCCTCATAGCACAGGTCAGAACACTCTCACCTGCACTGAGCTTACGAGGATACAAGATACACACACCTGCATGGTGGGTGGTGTAGGCTCAGCATTTTTTACTCATGGAGCTTGCTATTGGAACCTTGGTTTCCACTGTTCTATACTGTTGTTTTTGGTTTTTAAAAAAGCTAAATGCATTGATCCAATGTGACTCTACTTGGAGAGTACATCAGATGACTTATACAGAGGATAACAACTCCACATTAAAATCTGCCCTGAAACGAATACCAGAGTCCACCTGACTGACTCAAGTCTCATCTCTTTCCACAAATGTCCAAAGTGGGAACAAGTGGCCCAATCTGGCAGCATGAAACCCTAACCTGGGTCTTGTAAAGTTCAAATCCACTACAGCCATAGCATTCTTCTATAGAGTGGCAACATGGCTTCAACAGTATTAATGCTTAACGGAAACCTCTTCACACGCCTCTGATCCATGAAAGCTACGTGAGAGGAAAGGAAATCTTGAAGCAAAATATTGCTCAAACCAGTTGCTCCAGCTCCGGGGAATGGATTCGTGTAAGCGCAGGGAAGGGCGGTTATAAGAGCAAGTTGGCCTTCTTCCCACAGGGCAGCTTCCCGTTCCCTGCATCGGCATTGCCCCCATGTTAAAGGGTACATCTACCCTTCACACCTGCTTCATGCAGGACTCATGACCCCCAAAGTGTCAGGGGCCGTCCCTGTCCCCCAACACAGCTTTCCCTTCTTGGACCATCGTGACCCCAGGAAGCTGACTAGATGGTTTTGTCCCCTGTCCCCTCCCAGCAAATAAACACCCGCCCACACCCTCACAAAGCTAAGAGCTGTGGTTTGTAAGAGCCAAGCCTATATTTTTACCTGAAAGGTCTTCATTAAAGTCGATTTTCTTGTTGAACATGAAGTTGTTGAGCATTCGGTAGGGTCGAGCAGGCATGTTGACCTTTTCGATGTGAGCTTTCCCTATGACGATGGTGCAGGGAGAGTTGGCGTGGCCTGTGCTGAACTCACTGTGAACACTGCCCGGAGGCTTCTGGAAAGAGAGGCAGGAGAGCACAAAAGTCAAGGCGCAGGCCCACACGTAAGGTAACTTCAGATCGTGTCACGTGTTACAGACTCGCAGCGGACACACACCTTCGGGGCACTCATTCTCCTCTGCCTTTTGCTTGGCTGTCTTGGAGGACCATGTCTCACGACTTTCGTTTGTGTTTGCTTAGCACAAAGTTTTACTACGTCTGCCCACGATTTCGCCACTGTCAAGAAGAAAAGATGTTGAAACTCCTCAATACTGGCGTCAGTGGGAAAATTCACCTTAAAACATAACACGTTCACACAACACTAACCTATTAAATTGGCTTCCGAGGCTCCGCTCCTCCTCCTGGAGTGAATCATCTGTAGGATTTCATGCTGGCTTCGGTCCACGGAGGCCCTCTTGGACGGCACGCCGCTGCTCCTCCTCCCTCCCCTCTTAGGAACATCTGTCTGCTGTGGAGATTCTCTGCCACTCGGGGCAGAGGGCTTAGATGACCGCCGGCGACCGTCATTTGCAGCTGGAGTCGTTTTCGCAAAATTATGAACTGGGGAGCCCCTAAACGTGTTTTGTGTGGTCACTTCGAAACGGATTTCTGAAGCTTCTTCTTTTCCTGATGGCTGAGACTGTTCCTAGAGATTGAAAGGTTCCTAAGATAGCTTCCCACAAATACGATGTCTCTGTAATGACTGGTAAGCCCCACCCAATTAAAAACTAGCTGTTTCAAAGCCCAAGAAAGGCCCAACCCAAACCACAGTCATGCCTAGTGTGTCTGGTGGCCGTAGAAGAGACTTTGTACTGCTCCCAAATTCTCAAATAATTTTAATAAAACTGGACCTGAACACACAAAAGGAATTTTAGCTGTTTAAATCTTGAAGCACCCAAACATTTCCACCACTGTCAAGTGCAAGTCTGCCCCCATCAGTCATGGAAAAAGAAAGGAAAAAAAACAGCAAACAAGCTTTCGCTTGGGTATTTCTGGTGGACAGTGGAGGGCTCTGCCCGGAACCCAAGCAGATGGACCGGTGGCTGCGACCCCCTTTGGTCTATCTGTGTGAAAGCAGGGCTGCGCGCTTCTGGGAGCCAGTACAGAATAGGAAGGAGGCCAGACACTCACACGCCTTTCCGTGTGCAAAGCCATGAAAGGCAGCCCAGCCTCTCCAGTGGAGGGGAGCTGATCAAAATTTCTAAACAGCTGACGGTGAAAATCTGAGAAGTCTTGCTACCCAAGGCTCCCCTTTCTTCCTGTAATTCTGAACAAAAACGCAACCATGTTATGGTCGTGTGTCAGGATGTCTCCAGATCCTTTGCACTAGGCAGTTTTCACTGTCACCCTGGAGTGTCTTTCGGCCCTGGAACTGGCCGGCAGAAAGCCAGTGCAAAACACGTCCTGGGCACTAACCTGTGCTTGGCCACCTTCCAAGCAAACTTAGGAAGCAGGTGCTCGTTTTCCAACACCCAGGGGAATAAGCTGATTTAGACTTTATTTTTACTTTATATTAGGAAGGAAAAGGTTGTGATTGTAATTTTACTCTTTTATTATTATTTTTTTACCCTCACCTGAGGATATTTTTCTATTTATCTTCAGGTAGAGAGGGAGAGAGAGAAACATTGATGTGAGAGGGACACATCAACTGGTTGACTCCTGCATGACCCCAAACAGGGCTGTGGATGAACCGCAACCCAGGTACGTACCCTGGCTGGACTTGAACCCGGGACTCATTGGTTCACGGGCCAACGCTCAACCACTGAGCCAAACTGGCCAGGGCCTGTAATTCTACTCTTGTGAGAAGCTTAGAAAGGGAATGTACCCGGATGTGAGTCATCAGACTGGAGTGAGAATACGAGCTGTTGAACATACCTTGATGATTTTCTTCAGGACAGCTGGAGAGTGGGTTACAAGAGACCTTCTCTTCATTGGTGTTTCTCCTCTTTTGAGAGGGGTATTAGGAGGTAAGTTTTCATCAAATAATTCAGGTCGCAGATGACCCCCAAAGGAGACTCGTCTTCTTTTCAAGGGCATTCCCTCAGTCTTATCTAAAGGAATGAAGACAGACAGGAAAGGGGCGGAAAAGCCACCCTAGTACTTATGACTTATGACTTGACTTATGCTATTAAAGGCAACCAATGGAAAGAGCCAGCACCCTCACATCAGCAGCACACCTTCACTGCCGGGCTGCTGGGAAGCCAAGTCTGCCTCAAGAGCTCATAAAAGATCGAGGTCAAACCACCAAAACGCCTGTCCCGTCGGCAGTACACAGGTGTTCTTCCAGTTGCTGGAAAATCCTGCCCTGGCCAGTTGGGCTCAGCGGTTGGAGCATTGGCCCACAGACTGAAGAGTCTCCAGTTCAATTACAGTCAAGGGCATGTACCTCGGTTTCAGTTGGGTCCCCGGTCCTGGTCGGGATTGTGCAGGAGGGAACCAATTGATGTGCCTCTCATATCAATGTTTCTCTCTCTCCCTCCCTCCCACTTTGTCTGAAGATAAATGGAAAAATATCCTGGGGTGAGGATTGTAAAAAAGAAAAGTTGGAAGAGCCTATGTAGATCCAGCATCATAAGGGGATCGGGCTGACACAGAGGCTCTCAATGCAGAGCTGGGGCATTAGCAGTGACCCTAGGACACTTTCCCCAAAGACTCATACTTGGGCCTCACCTAGACCTGCCCTGTGAGTAGAATGAGCCGGGAAAGTTCTGCAGGTGATTCTCACAGGCAATTCATGGGACCCCATCCCCACGACACAACTTTACAAGCCAAGGGCAACATCAATCCTTGTCCGACTGATGCGCCCTTCATGAGACTCACGGGGCCTCTTTCTCAGAGTCACACACTCCCCACTACATGCCCCACAGAAGCAGAGCCTGGAGTCAGCCGGTCTCATCAGGTGCCCAGACACCCTGCAAGGTGCAAGGGGCCCAGGAGCCACCAAGCTGATCAGAGGCCCTGTCTCTGCCACTCACTGTGGGACATGAGGTTGTCAGATAACACTGCCTGTCCCATGGGTGCTCCTGCTGTGGGCACGGAGGGTCAAAGTGTGAATATCTATCTGTAAAGCATGTAAAACAGCACCCAGTACAGAAGACTGTGGGAACCGCGCAGGGTTTTACAGGAAACTGCTTATAAAAGACCCTCAGAATAAATACCTGAGGGCCACCCTATAATAAAAGATTCCCAAGGGACTGCTATTGAAGACCCAACTCACAGGACAGATGCTCGTAGCTCGGAACTAAGTCTCCTGTGCAAAGCAATCATGCTGCTTCTCTGCGCTGCTGTAGCTGGGACAGGAGCCAGCATGTTAGGAGCAGCCTCAGAGGCCTGGCTGTGTCTGTCCTTATGCAACACACCGCACCTCCCGTCACTCCCTGTCCGACCATCCAGGCCTTCCGGACAAATTTCTCGGCTTGGACAATAGACACAGTTGTCTTATCGTTGTCTCCTTAGTCCCCTGGCTTCTCTGCCACAGAGCGAAGCGTTATTTTAAGAAAGGAGGTGTCATCAATTCATACCTGGACATAGGTGCATGTGAACTTTTGCGGGGAAATGAACTTCAAGTTAAATGGACTTACTAGTGGAATCACCCAAGTTGCTGACATCGACGGAACTGAGACCCGGTGACCCAGCTGGGGTGCCCAGCTGCTCGGGTGTGCCATGGGAACGGCCCCGAACCTTCTTCTCCGTGGGGACCTGCAGGGGGGCAGGCACGGTTTGCTCTGGAACTTTTGTTTCTATAGACAGGGTGTCGGCACTTGGGGGGAGGCTGCTCCGCCTCTTTCTGGAAAAGACTTTTTCTGGTGTATTTCCAAAGTCAGCAGCGTCTTCAGCTTTAGCATCTGTTTGGCGTCTAGTTGAGAACCTCTTGGGAGTCAACACTGCATTGTCTGTCCTGAAGCCTTTACTTTGCTCCAGAATCACAGGTTCAGCCCTTCGGGGAACACTCAGGCCTCCACTCTGGCGTTTCCATGAGGAATTCTGGTGTGAACACTGGACAGGGGTCTTGGCTTTGGTCGGCTCTGTGGGGGGGACGCTGGGCCTCTCGGTGACCTCGAGAGTCTGCCCAGGCCCCTCACCTGTGCGTTCTTCCTCCGTCTGGCTGCTAGCTTGCTGCCCCAGGGCAGGGGTGGCCTTAGTTTGGGTGCTCCGGCCAGATCTCCGCCTGGACTTGGGTGAGACCCCCAGTTGTGTCTCACCCTGTGAATCATCAGCACTTTGGGATTCTGATGGGCAGTGACCCCGTGACCCCGATTTTCTACGATTCTGTAGAACATTCTCTTTTTCTGACTTCACATCTAACTCTTCCTTCATAGACTCATAAAGTTTCCGAAAGGGAGATTCATCCTCTCCACCCTTCTCAAGGCACTGTGTGGAGGGAAGAGACTCCAGGCCTCCATCTCCGCTCACGAATGTCACACAGGAACCTTCTCCGAGCTCCCCAGCTGTGGGACTGGTTGCACTTCTGCGGTTGCCTCCGGGGGGCTCTGAGAAGTGACCATCAGCTGTGCTCCTGGTAGCAGGGCCTTCAGAGCGCCGTGAGACGGGGCGGGTCGCCGCGACATCCTCCCGGAGTTCCAGGGGCCCTCCTGAAACACCTGCTTCAGTGGGTGGTGAGCAGGCAGCACTGGGATCTTGAACTTTCCCATCTTGCCGTAAGTTATGAAATAAGAAACAAGGTCAAGACTTTCTCAGTGGTTAACATGGGCAGTATTCAAATCTTACAACTGTTTCAAATTGTCTTATAACCTAGCTTTTCAGCTTACAAGTCACTGAATGCCCCAAATGTATAATAACAGTATTCTGATACTAATATTATGATCCAAATAAGTACATCACATTAGTCTTCTGTAACCAATCTGAGACATCAAATGCTATTAATCGACTCAGAATGCAGCAGACAACTGAGCAAGACAATTTATTTAGACATGGACTCTCCAGTGAGCTTGGGGCCCCACATGTAACTAAGTAAGAAAGCTAACTCAGGGGTCTGCCTATGAGCCTGGACATTGAACACCTATGATCTTGGTGTCCCTCCTTGCCATAATGCTACACAGAGAACTGACCTTGCAGAATCTGGAACAAAACAAAAAACTACTAACCAGGGTTGGAAGAGAAGCTAGACCTGGAGACCCGCCGTGGAGATGCCTGTGAATTGGCAAAGAACAAACAGTGATTTAGTGCCTTTTCTAGAACCGACAGTCAAATTTATTAAAATATCACACCTACCGATCTTCTTCGCCCAGACATTCTTATATGACTTTTAGAGACTTTGAGAAATGAGCCCGAGACACACAGGTGCTAGTGCTCAGAATACAAGTATTTCTTAGCTGATTTTACAATTATAGTGATGGAATAAAAAACAACCTTGAAGGTGTTAATTGTTTAAACTAAACCCAGTGAGTTGTTATAACTTCCTCAGACTTCTTTCTCTTCATCCTCTCAAGGAGGTTAAAATTAAACATCAATTGTCTGGCCGACATCAGCTGGTATTTTGTGTACCATTACATTCCACAGTCATAAAATTAACTGTCAAACTGTACACTATGTTCTGTGTATTCAATGTTAGTATTCTATCACATTCAAATAATAAACAGTTCACAAACCACTGAATGCTCTTATCTGACCCAGGGATTTCCACCTTTATCATCTATCTCAAGGCACTTAAACAAATTACTAAAATTCTGTAGCACACCAAAATATATAATTTTTGCCTATCTGACCAAAAAAATAGGTATAATTTTGACTGATTTACCAAATTATAATAATAATAATTGTGATTACCTATCCTTTTTGCTCCTAAGTAACTTTTTCAAAAAGTGGGTGCCTATAGAATTAACCAATTAGATGCTATCTTATTACGAGACATGACCAATAAGATGCAACTGTATTATATGACCTATATATTTATGGTTCAAGACAGAGCATTCACACTGGACGGCTACTGTTGTGTTGGCTGTTGTCATTTTATTTGACAATCTAAGGGAAAAGAGGTCGGTGCCCCTGACTAAATAGTCAGGTATTGCTTGCATGTTTAAAAAATTCTTGCAGTACACCAGATGAAAATCGCTGATCTAACCCACAGCCCAGCTTTTGGTTGGTGGGTTCCCTTCCACCTACTAACAAGTTAGAATGATGGCTGGTGGGTGAGATATCTCAAAACATAGGCCTCCCCACTCCTCCCTGCAAAGCTAATAAGCACTGATGAGCAGCAGGGTCAACATTAAGGTCAACTCCTGTAGGGCAGAAAACAGCATTGGCAGGAGCAGAAGAAATCATCCACAAAATGCCTGTTGCTAATTTCAGCGGTACCCGAAGGTACTGGTTTTAACACCTACTACTTGTTTTAACACCTTGGTTACATTTCCTACTGTAACTGGTAAGTCATCCATCCTCCCTTGTGAGAAGCTGTTTATCAATATGCATGTAAAGGATTTCCTACCTTCACGTAAGACTCAGAGCACAAAGTCTGATCACCCCCGCCCCACACACACTCATCACCTGTTCACATCTCTGTCCTGGAAATTCAGTTGACTTGCTTCCGTCATTTTCATACCTGAAGTGCACAGAAATACAGACACATATTTGGATTCCTGATCTGTAACCATGGTAAAGCCTACGTATCTGATTAATATCCGAGGAGCAAGGAACAAACTTCAGGTTTTGTTCAAGATGTTACCTTATTCCTGGAAATAAATTTAGAGTTTGGCCAAGTGCTTTTTACTAAACACACACACACTTATTTAAGTTGCCTCAAGTTTCTTTTAGAACAGTGTCCAAGGTTGGGGACCCAGATTAATTTCTGAACACTGAACAGCCGGTATGATTCAAGCTCCCTAAGTACCTGCTATGTGCAAACCTACTGCAGCGAGAACAGAATTGGTATCTGCTGGTTTACATTCATAGAAATCAACAGATGGCCCTGGCCAGTCTGGCTCAATAGTTAGAGCATCGGCCCCCAGACCAAAGAGTTGTGGGTTCGATTCCAGTCAAGGGCACGTATTTCAGTGCGGTTCATCCCCGGCCCTGGTGGGGGTCTCATGGGAGGAAACCAATCAATGTGTCTCTCTCACGTTAATGTTTCTTTCTCTCTCTCTCCCTCCCTCCTGGCTCTACCTGAAGATAAATTAAAAAAAAAAAAATCCAAACCAACAGATGGCTTTGAAGGCTAACCAGGAAGCTGGGGGCGTCCGATGCCTTAACCACTGTGACCTCACTTCCTACAGAGACTAGAGCTGTGCTCTAACTTGAGATCACTGATCTCTTCAGTCTCCCGTGTATTCCATCTGTGCCTGAACAAAGACAGGCATATGTATGAAGATGAGAGATATTTGGCAGACGTATAGTTCTCACAGACCTCAGTTACCAATTCACAGATTAACTGTTTAAAAAGCAGATAAACCTGGGTACCCAGTAAAGTGGCCTGATTCGAATTTAGATGCCACCTGAGTGCAATCTGAAACTGTGAGGCCTCTGGGATGCTTTCTCACGAAGAAGAATTCTGGATCCAGTCCCTCTTCCTGAGACCTACTGAATCATCTCAATTAATCCGAACTTGAACAGCATCTCCTTCTGGGGAAAAGCTCTGATCTCTGTTCCACATCAAATCCTTCCTACTTGGACCTCTCTATTCAATAAAAACACCCTTTAGAAATGAAGCAGATTCACAAAAAGCACAGTAAAAGAAATGACCAGGTGCCAGGTGGCACAGTATGAAGTATTTAACAAAGGCCATAACGAAGGGGGGGTTCAGCTCAGTAAAATGGATGAAAAAATGACCCAACTACATGTCTCCACAGGAGACACAATGCAGGTCCAAAGACACAAACAGGATGACAGTCAGAGGGTGGAAAAGATAAGCCTGCAAACAGCCCCCGGACGAGGGCTGGAGAGGCGACGCTACCATGAGACAAAATAGACAAACATGGTTCTCAGAGACCAAGCGCCTTTTATAACGATAAAAGGGTCAATCTTTAAAGAAGATAAGCTGCTTATAAACTAATGTGACCCTAACAGCTGGTTCCAAGAGACACCTAAACCTTGAGGATTATGAACAGTTCAGAGTATGAGGAAAAATCATAGTGTGCCGCCCTAATCCAAAGCACTACTAAGGCACCGAACATGCTAAGATGATAGGTGACAGAGCCTTATCCACCAGGAGATCACTCTAAGTTTAAACACAGATAGTAGAGTCTCCAAGTACAGAAAGAGGACAGACAGGGCTAAAAAACAAAATGAAAACAAATCCTCAGTAACTTGAACTGACCTGTTGCAGTAACTGAGAATCGGGGAAAAATGACTGTGATTCTAGAATTAGAAATTTGATCCTAATGGATATACACAGAACATGGCACCCAACAGCTACAGAACACACCTTCTTTTCAAACATACCGATGCGTAAAACATTAACCATATTGATCATAAAAGCAAGCCCCGAGGCATTTCAAACACTGGAAATTACTCAAATGTTTATCCAGAGTGAATAGTGTAGGACTGTATACATATCTATGTATATTATTTCAATGACATACTTAGGCAGTGAGAAGGACATCTGAATGTCACTACCATAAGAACAAAAGAAATCAGTTACAAACAGATCCTTTATTATTACAAATTGATAGAGTTAAATAGACAGTCAAAACCACAGTGGTTAGGAATGCAGGCTTAGGTAGTAAAACTCCCCAAACGTTCATGCTATCAGAAAGCCAGTGATTTATTTGGTGAGAGAAATAAGTAATGATTAGAAGTTGCCTGAAAGTAGCCTCTGGAAATGTTTTAATTATGCCTAAGGTGGTGAATTAGTTTGCTAGAGCTTCCAAAACAAAATACCACACAGTGGGTGACTTAAGAGACTTATTTTCTCACAGTTCTGGAGGCTGGAAGTCCAGGTCAAGGTTTGGTTTCCTCTGGGCTTTGCTATGGCTTCCCCTTGCCACCTGTACACAGGGTTCTCTGAGCACCTGCTCCCCTGTTCTCTGTCTGGTGTCCTCATCTCCTCTCCAAGAACACCAGTCAGATTGCATCAGGGTCCACTCCACAGGCCTCATTTTAACTTAATCACCTCCTTAAAGGCCCTCTCTCCAAATACAGTCACATTCTGGGGTCCTGTGGGTTAGGACTTCAACACATGAATTTTCTGTTGGGGGACAGGGGAGGGAGTGGCATTCAGCTCACAACATTAGATGCTCACAGGGCTGTTCACTTCATCTTGTTTTGCACCTTTCTCCATGAGTATGTTTTAGTTTAAAATCATAAACTAAAAAAGTATGCTGTTTCTCAATCCTTCCAACAAAGTAAAACTCCCGCGGGCCAGGCACCCCTCCCGGGCACCACTGTGGGTTCTCAAACCCTTAAACTGGATCACATAAGCCCCATGTTAAAGAAGCATCACAGACGAGCTGCAAGGCTGGATTTGGGGGCATCAGAAGGCCCGTTTCCTACTGACCTGAAAGAGCGGTCAATGACAGTGATCACGTCGCCATGCTTCAGTTGTACGGGTCCGTCGATAGCAGATCCGTTCACCTGTGTTGGATTTGTGGAACTGAAATTAAACAAGACTGCCTGAAAGCAGAAAAAGGGGGAAATATATTATACATGAAGTGAATACTTTTAAAGAATAGACTTCCAAAACCCCACTAACCTTCTGCTCATTGATTTCAATTTTGCAGTGCTGTTTAGACACGACAGGAAGCTGGATACGAATGTCACATTCGATACCCCTTAATTGAAAAAATGAAGATGTGTTTAGGTTGTTGCATTATAAAAATTACATCAATGTTTCAAAATAAAACTGCATTTGACTATATCTTTGATCTATAAATGTAATGACATAAAGAAATAACAAAGTGGGTAAATGTCAATGATATCTGAATTTTGCAAATAAAGTTTACAAGTATTGTATTGTATTTTTTTTTATCTTCACCCGAGGACATTTTTTCTTTTGTTAAGATAGAGCGGGAGGGAGAGAGAGGAAGAGAGAGAGAGAGAAACATCAATGTGAAAGGGACAGATCAACAGGCTACCACCCGCATGACCAACCAGGGCCGGGGAAAAACTGCAACCAAGGTACGTGCCCTTAGTGGGAACCGAACCCGGGTCTCTCTAGACCACAGGCTGATGCTCTAACTGCTGAGCCAAACCGGCCAGGGCTACAAGTATTGTATAAGCAACTATTTTAAATCTTTAAAACTTAGAGCACTTAAAATAATTACATTAGAAAACATTACAATATAAAATTGATTTGCCTTTTACTAAAATAGCTATGCTTATAAGCCCCAACTAAAGGAATATTTTACATCAGTCTGAAGAATGAGAATAATTTTTTTTTATCCTCACCTGAGGACATTTTTACATTTTTTTCTTCAGAAAGAGTGGGAGGGAGAGAGAGGAAGAGAGAGAGAGAGAGAAACATCGCCGTGAAGGGACACATCGAGTGGCTGCCACCAGCACGACCCAACCAGGGCCGGGGACAAACTGCAACCAAGGTACATGCCCTTAGCTGGAACCAAACCAGGGTCTCTGTGGATCGCAGGCCAACACTCTAACCACGGAGCCCAACCAGCCAGGGTGAGAATAATTTTTAATAGTCTTTTTTTTTCCGACAAGAAGGTTTGTGTATGTTTATTTGTAATGTGTAGTTTAAGGTTTAATTATCCCCAAAGAGCTGTATTTCATGCCAGTACCTCTCTGTGCCTCAGTTTCTTCATATACAAAGAGAACTACATTAGCACCTGCATTCGATGTTCTTCAAAGGAGAAAATGAATTACACGTGTTGTCATTTGCTTGGCACACAGTAATGCTATTACTTGTGAGATTTTTATTGTTTCATTAACTGACAGATTCACAAGTCTATCACTAAAAATACCAATCTGCAAGCAACAAAAAAACATTCTCTAGATTCAACTTGTCTTTTCACAAAAAGCTAACTAACCCCAACAAGAAACAAGGAAGGGAGACTTCCCAAACCCACAGAAACTCTCAGAGGTCCTCGGTGAGGTCCCCCGGGTGTCCCTGTTACCATCCCGGAAGGTTTTATAAGTTTGAATAGTCTAGGCTCTCATCTCTGTTCTCAATCCGGGCCTCTGGAGTCTAAGATCTCTCTTCCCACCCATGTCCTGTGATCAAACACTTACTAATGGGTTTCTAAGTTACAAAATCTTGCATAAGAACTATACTTAATCACTGTTGTATAATAACCACAATTATCACCATTTGATACCAACATGTTTTCATACATTTTTTTTTTCCTTTAGAAAAGAATCTATGGAAAGTGAACAGCTACTTTAAGTCAAAGAAGAGAATTTGGTGTTTAGGTGAAAAAAGAGAACAACAAACATTCCGGCAAGAAAGAGACTATCTCATTAGGACTGAGAAGTTGTTTGGCAGGAGACTGTCAACTAGGGTCATTAGAGCTGAGTGGTCCTTAACCTCAGCGCTGCTGACATTTTAGGCCACATAATTCTTCATAGGGGGACTGTCCTGTACGTTGTTGGATGTGTGGCAGCATCCCAGATCTCTTCTACTCACTGATGCCAGTGGCATGAGTCTCTCACACTGTGCCATGAAAATGCCTCCTGGGGGGCACAGTGACCCTCCTTGGAGAACCCACTGCTATATACTGATCCCCATTCTCCAGCTCGAGGCTAAACAGACTGATCTTACATGCCAGACCCCATCCCAGGCACTGAGCACAGACAAACCAGACTCTTCACCACATGTGGTGTTAGGAAAGGCAAAAGCAGTGTTCATTAAAGACTACTTTTAGGGTAGTGATTAAAATGAAATCTAAAAGTTGGAAAGAAGTCAGTCACAGAAGACAGAGAGAACACTCCAGTCATCGAGTTCAAACTGGCTAACAGCACCAAGAGCTTGGGATGTCTAAGGTGGGGTGAAACAGGGTGACACCCACCAGCTTTGGGTCAAAGGGGCCGAGTCGACACCACACCAGGCTCTGAAGGGAGGGTGACGTATCATTTGCCTGTTGTAGGGGACCACACTCATTGCCACCACCAATACAGGTAGGCAACAAGAGAGAAGTTCTCAAAACACTAGCAGGAAGTCTTTCTTCTCTCTCTCTCTCTCTTTTTTTTTTTTTTTACTGTTGAGAGTATTACAGATGTCCCCTTTTCCCCACTCCTTCCCTCCCTACGCCCATCCCCCTCCTGCTTTCCCTAACCTAATGTCTGTGTCCATTGGTTGTGCATATATGCATATAAGTTCTTGGGTGTATCTCTTCCTGCCCCCCCACCCCTCTGAGGTTCGTTAGTCTGTTCCCTACTTCCCTGACTCTGGGTCTGTCCTGGTCCACAGCTTGCTTTGCTCATGATATTCCATACATAAATGAGATCACGTGCTACTTGTCTTTCCCTGGCTGGCTTACTTTGCTCAGCATAATACTCTCCAGGGCCTTTCCCTCCCGTTTTCATCTTCCCCAAAAGATCAACAAGCCCGGCAGGAGCCTCCTTCGTTCCTCGGCGCAGCCGTGTCCCCCAGGGATTTGCGAGGAACGCGGCTGTCTTCTGCAGACTGTCCGAGTGCATCAGGATGTGACAACCGTTCGCATTCCCCTCCACTTAAAACACGGGTAGCAAATCAATGCGGACATTTAGGTTTGCCTGCAACACCGGTTAACATGTAAACGTTGTTTTCCACCACCCGGTCAGGTTGACAGGACGGGGAAGTCCCCACCCAAGGGGACGGCGGGAGGAACGCCGGCCCCGTCTGTTAACCTCCGATTAGGAGACTTCCAGGTTAAAGCGTGCACGCGGCGCAGGGCTCACCTCCCAAACAAGCAGGTGCTCAGGCTCAGCGGAAAGTGGTGGCCGTCGCCCCCGCTCCTTTTGATGGTCACCAGGCGTCCGGTAGGACCCATTTCCCGACCAGAACTCGAGTCCGATCCGTGCAGGAAGGCCAGGCCGCGGCCAATCCTCCACCGCGGGGACGCGCTCTGAATTCAACAAAACGGGAAAGCACGACGCGGGCGTGAGCGGGTGGGCTGTGTTACTCCGAAAGCAAGAAGTCACTCGTGAGTGACCGGCTGGGTCCCCCCGCTCCGGGTGCCCCAGCCCCCCCTTATCTGACAGCTGGGGAGCCGCAGCCCGGCCTGGGCTGTGCCCCGGGGCGCCTCCAACACGCAGCGCCCCAAAGGCCCGCGGCCAGGACGCCGCCCGCCAGGGTCGCGTCCCCAGGGAGTTCCCTCGGGGACCCCGGAGCCCGAACCCGGAACGAGCTGGGCCCCGGCCGCGCTCCCGGCGCCGGTCCCCGCGGAACCGCACAGGGTCTCCGGGGCCCCGGCCCGCGCCCCTCGCCCAGCCCGACGGGTCTCCGCGGCTCCGGCCCCCACCCCCGCGGCGCCCCAACTCACCCGGGACGAGTCGCCCGCACCGACACCCGTGCACCCACCGCTCGTCGGCCGCAACCCGGGTCCGCGCGGCGAGGGGCCCGCCGCCTGTCCGCCGGCACCCGCCGCCCGCCCCGCGCTAAAGGGTCAGGGACTCAGCCCCTGGGCCCGCGCCCACCTCCGCCGCGGCCGCAGTGCGCGCTCCCCCGCAGTCGCCCTCCCCACTGACGAGGCGCCCGCCCAGCTACGTCCCAGCGGCGCGCGGCCTCGGCGGCGCCGGCGCGGAAAGCCGCCCGCCGCGCGCTCCGGATTCAAAAGAAAACAGCGATTCAAATTTGGCGCAAAGCGCTGCGATTGGACGCGGCGGGGCGGCGTCTAGCCAATGGGAAGGGGCGAGGAAGACCAGGGGCGGGGCGGAGAGGAGGGCCGGGCGGGCTTCGCGGGAGGAGCGGAAGGGGCGGGAGGAGGGGGAGAGGCGGGCGGTGGCCCCCGCGTGGGGCAGGGAGCGGCTGGCTAGGTGCACCCCGGGGAGGCGCGGGCTCCCGTCTTCGCCAGCGACTGCACAAAACGGGCGGGAACCCCGCTTGCCGCTTCTTCTTGAAGGACCACATGCAGTTAGTTGTACAACGAACACAGTGTTGCTCATTGCGGGAAGGTTTAAACGTTTTTTAAGTTTCAATATCTCCCCAAAGATAACCAGTTATTATAAGCAATTTCTGTCTTTTCCCAGTTACACATGTATTATTTTCTTCCGAAAACACACTAGGAAAAGTAATATACACGTTGTTCTAGATTTGTGTTCTCTTAATAAACCCAGAGGCTACATTTGTATTAAACCCATCCTTTCCTTTTACCTTTTTGTTGTTGTTGAGGCTGCTTTAGAAGCCGTCTTTTACCTAACCTCTACCACTGCTATATTTATAGGTTACGATGGTGTCCTATTAGAAAAAATCTCCAATTAAAACCTTGTGCATAACGAAATAGATGAATTCTAAATAACCACAGGATTTCTCCCTGGAGGGCTTGCCCGGTAGGGGAGGGAGACCTCTGTGGGTCCGCTGGGGTGAAGTGAATCGGTCCAAACGTGCCCGCTGGTTTGCCACCTCCTTCCTGCTCATCCCACACCCCTTGGAGCTTGGCTTTCCTCGGCCAGGATTCTCGCCGCGTGGTCTGGGGACACCGAGGGTGTCTGAAATCCTTCATGGGGTCCATGAGCTGAAAACCACGTTTGTTATAACATCAGAAGTTCTTTGCCCTTTTCATTTATTTTCTCGTAAGTGTAGGTTGGGGTTCCCAATTGCAGAAGTGAGAATCCAGTTGTCTTTTACTAAATCAGGTACTACAGGAAACTGCAAAAATATAAAATAATGCTGCTCTTTCCGCCATTAAAAAAACAACACCTGTTTTTATGTGAACATGGAATGAGTTCATCATCTTAAAACTGACAAACGAAGTTTTAAAATTATTCAGTTAATAACCAACATAAACAAAAATTCTTAGTGGTCCTCAATGACTTTTAAGACGGTAGAGAGACCCTGAGACCAAAAAGTCTGAGCCTTTCTGCTCCCAAGGAACAGCTCGGAAGCTGACTGCCGGAGGGGACAAGGAAAAGCTCCCAGGACCCCTGTGAATGTGCCCGCCTCCCACTCAAACTGGCTGGCACAAGGCTGCTGTGGCTCATTTAAATACCTGGATACTATTAACCTTCTTCAAGGGATTTGTTCCCATGTCCTCCGACTTTCCACCATCAAAGAAAACCCATCCTCAGCAGTCTCAGTCCCGCTGTGTCACCGTCAAGGCACGTCCGTGATCACCCCTTAGAAAAGGACGTGGGTGTCAGAAACTTCGGGACCTGCGTTTTAATAACAGTTTATTCCAGCTAAGCTGAGGGAGCAAGATCTCAAACGCTCTAGGAAAATAACAGTTTTGCCATTTCTTTTATGCACTTGAAATTAAGGAAGGAACTGTAAGGAAGATTTGGAGAAAGCCAGGCAGGGATTGGATTACAGGATAGTTAGCCAATGGCTACTCTCTTGAGGGTGGTTGGGGTTTATTTCAAAGGTGTATTAACCCTAGATGTACAGAAACAATGGACGGTCTTGCTTAAGGCAAAGATAAACCTTTTATTGAAAAGTTTCAGGCCAAGGTGTATCTATCCCCCATGACACCCCCCCCCCCCCCAGTTAGTAATTTATAAAATCATTCTGTGAGCTTACTTCTGCTCAACACTTTTTTTTCTTCCACAAAGGGTTTCTATTTAAAAATTTAAAGGCCAAGTAATTGCTCGCCTTTCCAAAAAAATCCAGCTTTTGGCCTCTCTTGAAAGCAAAAGGTCAAGACACCTTCATCAGCCCCGTCTCCACCTCGCAGGCGGGAGCCTCTGATGGCAGCTCCCGGCGCCAGAGTCCCCGCCTCCGCTCCGCTGCGTCCCCTCGGGGCAGCGTCCCCGCCCACGGCCCTGCGGGTCTGGTCCGCGGAGCTCCTGCGACTTCGAGACTGATGGCTGGGGCCGCAGCGCCACCTGGCGACCAAGCCGGGCCACTGGCCCTTCCAGTAGAAAAGGCCTATTGGGTTGTGAGCGCAGGTCAGAGCAGGTGCAGAGCCTTGAACTGGTGTTAACAACCCCTATGTACATGTCGTGCCGCATTTATGCGACATTGGGACAGTTCTGTGTTTCCACTTAGCGTTTGTGCCTGAGGTCTTTGCGCTTTCCAGACATGTGATGACCCCAGGGGTGGGAGACAGGCAGCCTGCTCCAGCTCCGGGACCCTGCTGTCCTCCCCGCAGCTGCACCTCGCTCTGGGAAGGGCCCCGAGATCCGAGCCTCCTGTCTGCTCCGATTCCTGGAATCTCGGATCCACCCCAAACGAAACCCAAACCAAGTGCTGCTGGATCAGCTAGAAAAGCTCTTGATGGAGTAAGAGCAAGTTTGTTCCAAAATATTTCGGGAGAGAAAGCTTTTAATTGTGTAATAAAGTATTTAGATTGAGGTTACAATGTGGAAATCATTCTTTTGATTAATTTACGAGTGCCATACTAAGAAGAATTTATTATTTGGAAACGTGAATCTTTTATTGTATAGTAATGACTTGTAAACTTGAGACATATCTGCCCAGTGGCCATTCTGTGTTTTAGACGTTTGCTCAGTGTCTCCTATATGCCAGGCAGCATGTTAAGATGAAGACAGTCTGAGTTGTCAGTGGGCACAGCGTCTGCAGGGCGCAAACCTCCCAGAGACTTACTAACACCCGTAGTGCCACCCGAACGGGTCCTGAGCGTTATCAGAGTGACAGAATAGCATGTCCCCCCGAGGAAGGTCTCCGTAATCAGACCCCAAAACTACCAGAAAGAGGTATCGTTGGGATAGGGACAGGAATGACCCCCTTTGGTTAAGTTCAAAATGACTTTCAGCCCTGGCCGGGTTGGCTCAGCGGTTAGACCGTCGGCCTGTGGTCCAGAGAGATCCGGGTTCGCTTCCCACTAAGGGCATCTACCTCGGTTGCAGTTTGTCCCTGGCCCTGGTTGGTTGTGCGGGTGGCAGCCACTCGATGTGTCCCTTCACGTCGATGTTTCTCTCTCTCTCTCTCTGTTCCTCTCTCTCCCTCCTGCTCTATCTGAACAAAAAATGGAAAAATATCCTTGGGTGAGGATAAAAAAAAAAATGTCTTTCAGGTAAATTCCGGAGGACGGCTGAGCTGAGAGAGATGTATGTGCTGGATGCTAGACTCGATTTTCACGAGCTCACTGAGTGGTAAGTCAGTTACAAAATTCTAAACCCCATGGCAGGTGCTCTGTGAAGCGTCTCAGGTTTCTCCGGAGCCTAGGGACGGTGGCTGTTCCCTCTCAGCCAGGACCAGGGCGAGGGAGGGGGCGCCTGGGCACTGGCTCTCAGAGGCCGATTCTCCACTTCCAGGGCCCCAAGATTGAGCGCCCCTTGACTGCTGCAACCCTGGAGCCTCTCTCATCTGACCCTGACTCCCATTTTACAAAGGAGGAAGCCAGAGCACAGAGAGGTTGATAATGCGTCCATGGTCACACAGCTCAGAGTTTCCAACCGGGCATCTGGACCCAGGGCTTTGTCTATTCTTAACACCTGCATTAGGAGTTTTTCTCATGGCCTCCAAAGGACTTATTTCTGTTTTAAGGCCAAGTAGCCTTTCCCCCAGATATCTTGACTATTGGCAGCTTAATTGATTACAAAGAAGTGGGAGGAGCTCTGGAGTCCAACTGTGTCGAGAGCCTTGATGGCCGAGCTGAGAGCCCCTGTTTGGACGCAATGCGGGGTCAGGACGCAGGTGCCAAGCCAGCCGGACTTGGAGCCGCGTGTGCACCATGAGAGGCGAAGGCTGCCGCAGCCAGTGGCCCCGCCCTGCGCGGTGGGGACGGCTGCACCGCCTGGAAGGCCATCCCGCTGCGGCCACTTACCAAAGACCGAAGCCTACTTTCCCACTGTCGTTTTTAAAAAAGTTTTATTTATTGGTAAGAGAGAGAAAGGGAAGTTTCAATTTCTTGTTCCACTTATTTATGCATTCATTAATTGATCCTCGTAGGTGCCCTGACCAGGGCTCAAACCCACAGCCTTGGCATATGGGGACAATGTTCTCACCAACTGAACTACCCAGCCAGGCCACCATCGTCATTTAATACAAATAATGATGCTAATAATGTTGACAATCACAGCAGTGCCTCCCACCTGTTGGGAGCCAGGATGACAATCCCGTTTCCTGTACTATCTCATCCACCTTTGTGACGATCTCATGGGAGAAGAATCATCCCCACTTCACAGATGGGAAGTTAAGGCTCAGAGAGTGACGTGGCTTGGTCCGTGTCCCACAGGCAGTGTGCGGCAGGTGACGCGCAGGTCTTCCTGTGATTCCACGGCTTAGGACACCGTCTCTGCAGCTCCCGTGAGGGGCAGCCGCCGCCCTGTCCGCCCTCTGTGTGAGGATAACACACCCCGACTCTCTGCACAGGGCCTGGTTAATGGGGGGCGAAAGCCCGCATAGGCTGTGACTGAGGGGAAAGCAGAGGCCCGGCACCAGCCTCACAGGTCCACCTGCCTCAGCACAGATTCGGGACCGCTGGGGCAGCCAAGTCTCTCATGGATGGGACGGGGCACCTGGAAACTCAGAACATCTCATGGACACTGGAACACTAAAACGAACACATACTGAACATTCTGAAAATAATCTTTTTGCATTAGCGTTGTCTACTTGTGATCGAATATTTGCTCCAGTGAGGAACAAGGACCCGTTTTGTTTCTAAAATGTTACAAGAGTGATATGCATGCTGTGTTTTCTCAAATTCTGCATAATATCTATAAGTCTTCTTCCGGCGTGGAAATGAGCCTTCAGGAATCAGCAGGCGCTTTGCAGAGAGGTGGACCTGTGTTCCATCCCTCCTTCGCTTCTGTCTCTGGGTAATGACCATCCTAAAAGAAGATGTTTGGGTTTGAGATAAAATGTATAAAATGGCTAGTATAGGCTGAATTATGCCCCCCTTTCCAATTCCTATGTTGAGGTCCTGACCCCTAGGACCTCAGAATGTGACTGTTCTTGGAGATAAGATGTCTAAAGAGGTAATTTAAGTTAAAACGAGGTCATGAGGGTGGGTCCCACTCCAATCTGACTGGTGTCCTTATCAAACAGGAGGCTAGGGCGCGCACACACACACACACACACACACACACACACACACAAGACCCTGGGAGGACGCAGGGAGAAGGTGGCCGTCCATGCGGTAAGGAGAAAGGCCTCAGGTGAAACTGACCCTCAGACACTTTGATCTCGGACACCCAGCCTCCAGGACTCTAAGAAAACACATTTCTGTGGCCTGCGGTCTGTGGCACTTGTCCTGGAAGCCATAATGACGCACAGTGCTTGTCCCAGCCTGGAGCACGTAAGGCCCTTGGGAGGTCAAGCTGTCTGCTTTCTCGTCCTCTTCAGGGAAGCACCAGAGTCTATGGATTTAGGACCTTCTTGAGGTCAGGGTCGTGTCACGCTCGTATTGGTCTTGGGGAAGTCTGCATACGGGTCTCGGTTTCACAGCTCCTACGTACTCCTGAGTGTTACTGAGCACATGTTGCCCGGGTTTCACCGCACACCTGTCGCTTCTCCAGGGTATAAGAGCACCCAGAGAGCGGCCAAGTCCTCAGAAGGATGCGATGCAGCCCTCGGCCCGGCCGGAGGACACACCTCCACCGCCAACTCTCAGTCTGAGGGGGCGAAGCTGACCTCCTCCTGGTGGGCTCACACCTTGGGAAGGACCATGTACTGGGCTCTCCACTCAGCGTTTCTAACCCAAACTCTCTCTGTCTGTATGTCATACAATATTTTAGAAACATTAAGTTAATATTAAAATATGAAGGTTAATATTTTAAAGAGTATTAAGGGCAGGACAAAAGGACAGATGAATGAAATTTCTAACTGTGAAGATGTGAAAAACACCAGCCAATGGACACCATTCCATTTGAGAGTTGGAGGACCTGGGAAGCTCACCCCCCCCTTTTTTTTATGTTTTATTGATTTTTTTAGAGAGAGAGGAAGGGAGAGAGGGATAGAAACATTGATGTTTCAACATCGATCGGCTGCCTCCTGCACGCCCCCTACTGGGGTTCAATCCGACAACTCGGGCATGTGCCCTGACCTGGAATCGAACCGGGACCTCAGTCCATGGGATGAAGCCCAATCCACTGAGCCACACCGGCCAGGTGGGACAGCTCACCTGTAGGGGCCTTTCCGCACCGGGTCTTTGTGGCCAGAAAGGGAAGGCGTAATCTTCAGAGTCCCTTCCTATCCTTCCCAGGACCACTTACCAGCGGGGCAGGTCCCTCATCGTGCAGGGAACTCACCGCGGTAGGTTCCTTGTGGACTTGTTTCGAGGATTAAGCGGGTCAATGTGTGTACCACATTTAGAAGCAAGATGCTTACATAGTAAGAGCCCCATAAAGAGTATCACTGCTGTCCTGGCCAGTTTGGCTCAGCGGTTAGAGTGTCGGCCTGTGATCCAGAGACACCGGGGTTCGGTTCCCGCTAAGGGCACGTACCTTGGTTGCAGTTTGTCCCCGGCCCTGGTTGGGTCGTGCGGGTGGCAGCCAGTCAATGTGTCCCTTTCACGGCCATGTTTCTCTCTCTCTCTCCCTCCCACTCTATCTGAACAAAAAATGGAGAAAAAAATGTCCTCGAGTAAAAAATGTCCTCGAGTGAGGATTAAAAAAAAAAAATGTGATGCAAATAAAATTAAAAAAAAAAAAAAGAGTATCACTGTTGATGTACTTGACCTTGTTATAACTGATCAGTCACCTCTGTGCAGGCTCAATGCCCCCAGTCACTGCACAGATTATTAATTGACCTTCATGCTGGTGAGTATGAGATACTGCCCGGCATGCCGAGAGCATACGGGTTCAGGGCCTAAGGCATTTCGCATTTAGTTTGGGAGGGAAGTATTAGATGCAAAGGGACTGCACAGACTTGTGATTGTCCAGTGGTGGAGTCGTCTGTCTCAGTGAGGTTCTGGAAACCTCCACGGAAATAGGTGGAGATTGGGGAGGAGGCTGCTGGGGAGCCGGGACAGGTGGGGGATGGAGTGGGGACGAGAGAAGGGGAGGTGGCCAGAGTCTGCAAGTCTGGAGTCTGGAGAGCTGGTGAGGACGTGACCCTGACACAGCTGTTCAGGCTGCTGTGACCGGCCCCACAGCCTGAGGGGCTTAGACAAGATGCGCGTCTTCCTGTGGTTCTGGAGGCCGGCAGCCCAAGTCGCGGCGTCGGCAGGGTTGCTCTTTTCCCGGAGTCCCCCTTCTCGGCTTGTAGATGGCCCTCTCCCTGTGTCCTCACCCGGTCCTTCCTCTGTGTGTGGGCCCTGCTGTCTCTTCTTCCTATAAAGTCAGCAATCATGCGGGATCAGGGCCCCACCCTAATAACCCCATTTCACCGTCATCACCTCTCCGAAGACCCCGTCTCCAAATACAGTCACATTCTGAGCAAAGGGGGGTTAGGATTTCAACAGATGGATCTGGGGGGACACAGTTCAGCCATAACAGACCCCGGGGATGGCGGGTGGTAGAGAGAAGGGGCTGGATCTGCTGAGGCTAGAGAGAGGGCGCTGCCGTGGGGGAAACACAGGTGTAGATCTCCTTGAGCCTGGGGTGGGTGGGCAGGGGCGCAGACAGGCGAGGAGGAGGGGGAGGCCTCGTAAGCAGGAGGGCAGCACCGCGGACCGTGAGGGAAACCCTGGAGTCAGACCCCGCCCGAGCCTGCTTGTCTAAAGAAGGGGCCCCGGGGGTTTGGGGTGTGTGGGGGTGGGGGGATAAGCTTGGCTTTGTACTTTCTTCAGGCGCCAGACTTTTGATCATTTTCCCCTTCCTCTCCCTTGGTCTCTCTGTCCCCACCTCCTTGCCCCCTCTCCCCCAGTCTGGGGCCCACTGGAGGCCCCATTGGATCTGACTCCGGGTTGAACGCGTCAGAAGCATCTCGCATGATCACTCAGTATCGTTTGCCATGGAAACGACCTCCATTTCAGAAGCCAGGTAGCCTCTTGTTCACGACGTCTCCCTTTCTTGGGCTCCATAACCAGCTCGACGTGCTCCTAATTGCTCGGGTGATGGGTGTAATAATGAAGCCGGCATGATGGACGAGGCCATTACGGGAGCGGCTCGCCTGTCTGCCGCGGAGGGCTGTGCGCAGGGAGCCGTCCCCTCCCTGCAGTGCGAGCTCCTTGGCTTTGCAACTGGAAGCTTCTGACCCCCGAAAGGCAGTGCTCATGTCAGGCTGGGAGCCATCGGTCGGGCAGCTGGAGTTCCCGGACTTTGGAGGCTCTCTTCATCCCGATGACCGCGGAGGGGATCTCCTTGTAAACACAGAAAGTGGGCTTATCATTAGCTCGTAGGCAACTGGCTGGGGGCTGTTTACTTCTGCATTTTCCCAGCAGCTAAATCACAGCCAGGGCTGTTCGGAGCTCAGTAAATGTCATTATTCAAAACAAAAGTTATTAGTTTCCATGCCAGACAGTAAATCAATGTGCGTACTTTGCAGGTTCCATGAAGAAAGGTCTCTGGATGAGGGTGCTGGGGAAGCACAGCCCACCGTGCAGCGTGGGGACTCGCTGGGGGGCAGGTGCCCTCTGGCTGCGGCTGCCCAACTGTTGCATCTGCGGGTTTTCCTACGGGCAAAGGTGAGCGGGCTTCTTTGGCTGGAGCCTCCATGCTTATGAACACCATTCCCCTCCAGTCCCTGCAAATTCATGGGTAGAAACAGAACCGTGAAACGAGGTTAGAACGAGCGAGTTAAAGCACCACACTTAGGACGTAGTCTTGCCCAAAGAACCAAACTTGAGTCTTGATAAATGCTGTAGATTCAACTACCAATTTCCAGGAAATACAGGGGATAGAGGAACTCCGAAAGGGGACCCCATAGTGACACTATCAGCAAAATCCAAACTGAGCGAGCAAGTGATCTGTCTGTTTTCTTCATTAGATAAATAACTTGATAAAGATAGAGCTATGATGGGACGGGGTGGGGGGAGGAGGGGGAGAGTTGGCACATACCAGCCAATTACAACACATACAAGCTATTTGCATCTTGGCTCAAACTGTAAATAGCATTATTCAGAACATTACTGGGGCAAATTGAAAATGGGACTCTGACTGATTATCCAATAATATTAAGGAATCCTTGTGAAGTTTTTAGGTGTGATAATAATATTTTATAGGTTACAAAAGACCTACTCTTCTGAGCTATATCTTAAAGACCTGCAGCTGGGGTGCTAGGCCGCCCAGGATTCGCCCCACAGTCATAAGGGAAGGAGGGTGGGAGGCGAGGAGACACGGGCCCCATGAAACAGGGTCAGCCCCGTGGGAGTCGGTCCTGTGAGGCTGGGCTGTGGGAGCTGGGGCTTCGGGGTTCATGATACTGCTCTTCTTTACGTTTGTGTCTATCAACATTTTCCGTAGTTTAGAAGTCTGGCCCTGGACGGTTTGGCTCAGCATTTAGAGCATTGGCCTGTGGACCTGAGAGTCATGGGTTCAGTTCCTGCTAAGGGCACATACCTTGGTTGCAGTTTGTCCCCAGCCCTGGTTGGGTTCGTGTGGGTGGCAACCACTCGATGTGTCTCTCTCACATCGATGTTTCTCTCTCTTCCTCTCTCTCTCCCCCTCCCGCTCTATCTGAAGATAAATGCAAAAATGTCCTCGTATGAGGATTAAAAAAAAAAAAGTCTGAAGGAAGCCGCTCTTGCTTTTCTGGAATGACTCAGACCAGCTCCCAGGACTAGAGGTCTCTACTCCCCTTTCCCTGAAGGGCCCTCCAGCCCCCCAAGCCCCCCACCCACTCCTTTCTTTTCTCACTCACTCTTAATGATGTGAGGCAAGGTGCTTCTGGCTCTCCACTTTGAGAAGGTTTTCTCCTGAGGACCTGGAGACTGGAGCTTCCCACGGCCGAGGTCTCGCCCCCAGCGCCTTGCCACGGAAGCCACTTCCACTCGTGGTGGCAGCAAGGTGCCACCTCTGCAGTTCAGGTACGTTACCAGCAGAACCCAAATTATTAGCCTTAATACAATTTTAAAACAATTATTGAGCAAACCGGATGCAAATTAAACAAAATGAACCTATAAATATATGTGTTTTTCAAATTAGTAATTGGATGTTTTGATGATCTTCGGCGTGACATTGATAAGCTGCCTCTCATAACGGTCTAATTAGGCAATATGTAAACTTTGGCACTCGCTTCTGGCCTAGTGGCTTTTTCAAATGATGTTTGTAAAATTTGCAATTTCATATTACAGATTAAAAATTAAAAACTGCAGGAGGCTAACATTAAAATGAGAATTCATTTCAGGGAAAGCCCTGTAGACAAAATTCACCCTAATAGAATTGTGCCTAAGAGGCCGCAAATCACGGTGTATGGTTACACTGGGGAGGGCTTGTCAAACCCAGTATTGTTGGTCTGTAGTTCTATTCACAGCGTTCAACCCATCAGCAAAGCCACTTTGGGGAAAATGTGAACATTATCAAAGAACAGTAAATTAGCAAGAAATTAAAGCATATACCCTTGCATTTCCAAAACAAAAGATCCCTTCATTAAAAACCTTTCATCAGCGGTTTAATATCCATAGCAGTGATTTGCATAACTAAATCAGTTTTCACTGATGAGAGACGACCAAAGTTTTCCCACTAATTTCTTTTTTGAATGAGCTCTCTAGTTTTTTGATTAAAATTTCACACCAGTAGTTGAACAGAATTGAATACACGGCTTAGCCGTCTTTGCAAGTATCATCGTTGAACGCACCAGATTAAAAGTTATTTCTTCAGAGGGAAGGTATTGTTCAAGCAGCTTTGTTGACTTTACCTGCCTGTATTTTTCTCTCCTTGAAATTTAGACCTTGGGTGAAAAAGCTTTTTCAGGGGCAGGGTCGAGTTGGGACCCGCTGTGACCTGCTGATGAGGAGGGGTCATCAGCCTAGCACCTCAGTCACCCCAGTATCTTGTGAAGTGCAGTGACCTAGCCTGTGGTTCCTTCCTGCAAAGGCGGTTTCCCTGGGAAGAGGAGAGGCTGCCTGGTTATACCCTGGAGCCGGCAGCCAGCAGAGGGCGTCTGTGCGCCAAGTGGGGGCTGCCGGCTCCGGACTCCGCATCCCCCCAGCTCCTAACAGGTACCTGGTGCTGCCACTTCTGATAACCGTCCGGTGAGACAAAGTGACTGTGATGTGCCGTGCTTGGGTGCTTTCCCTGTGACACAGCCAGCCGGTTGTCTGGCAATTTAATCTGAGTTAAAAAGAGACCTGCAGCCTGTGTTCAGAGCCAGACAGTGAGTGTTTCTTCCCTCCTACTTTCCACCAGAGGGGCTCGAAGGTAATCAGTGTGCACGTGGGGGGGGGGGGGCAGTCACATGACTGAACCAGTTGTAGGTGACTTTAGTGGCTCACCCCGGTGGAGAGGATTGGGGTTTACCTGCAAAGCTGTGTTCTGGAAGGTGCCCCTCCCGTGGGGAGCAGTGTCTCCTAAACTTCTGTGTCCTGGGCCACCCGAGTCACTTCCTAAAAACTGACTGAATAGTTTTAACTCCGAGAGTGGTGAACTCTATCGGAAACCACTATATCCCCACGTTAAGTCAGCTCTTACTGGTGGTTGGGTTTCTGGAGATTCAACATTTTTTTGGTCAGTTGTATTTCTTGATACCCAAACCAAGAAACCCAAGCACTGATGTAAAATGAGGAGCGTAGGAACACACTTTTATAAAGCACGTATGGTGGGTCTCCCTTCCAGCCTTTCATCCATTCTGCCCCTTTACAGGGGACCTTTTGGACCCCAGCTCTGTTTACTTCATGGAGACCCCGAAGCCACTGCTCGGTGCGGTTTAGGCAGGTGACCAGATGACACAATTCTCATCCGCTCACCTGCAGTGGCAAGTTCGGCTCGAGCCGGGGAGATTTCGTAGACCCGGCAGAGTCAGTTTTCTCTCTCATCGAACTATCGAGTCTGCGTACCAACCTATTAGCCTTACATAGCCCAGACCTCACAGCTGCTTAGTCTAAACACTTTTGAAATTAGGGGGAAACATTCACTTTCATGAGAATTTAAGGAAAAGTGTTTGTTTGTTTTTTCAGCAGGCCTATTTCTTTTTCTTTTAAATAGTTTTTCTTTATTGATTTTGGAGAGAGAAGAAGGGAGAGGGAGAGAGATAGAGACATCGATGGGAGAGAGCATAGCCTGGTCGCCTCCCGTATGCCCCCCACTGGGGACCGGGCCCACAGCCCGAGTATGTGCCCTGACCGGGAACCGAACCGGCGACCTCTTGGTGCCTGGGTCGACGCTCAACCACTGAGCCACACCGGAAGCAGGCCTATTCTAACACCGCTGTCCATTTCTCTTAAACAGACATTTTCTTTTAATGCACTGGTTCCTGTGGCTGCACTTAGTGGCCTCCTGACCCCTGGAAAGTGAGGTCAACCGTGGACACCTCCACGGCGCCTGGAGGGGTCCGAGCAATAGCAGGAACAGAGGAGGAGAAAATCAGAAGGACGTGTCTTGGGCAGTGATGGAGGGAGCGTGGATGGAGGCTCCTGCCTGTGGGATGGAGTATGTTTCTTGAGTGGGAGAGAGGGCCCCGTGGGAGGGACCCTGGCCTCCCCACCTATGGGACCTGGTCCCAGACCAGGCTGTCTGAAGGCGGAGCGTCCTCCTCCCCTGCGGTTCCCAGCAGAGCGGTGAAAGCCAGCCAGAGGACTCGGAGGAGAGTGTGCTTAGAAAGCCCCATGTGCTGAGCCGGGCGGGCTTGAGCTGCAGAGACACCCAGGCGCCTGTCCTCGAGACCACCGCGTCTGCAAGGCACAGGTACGGGCACGTCGCCTTCCTGGTTTTCTCTCCACTCGGTCCCAGTTTCCTGGCTTCCGGCGACGTCTCCCTGCGGGCATGTTTCTTCTACAGGAGGGTATTCAATAGAATTGTTTGATAAAATGCGGGACGGAGCTCACTGTGACGGGACTGAAAACCGTGCAGAGGGAGATGAGATGGGGGTGTGGGGGGACCTCAGAGAGGCTGGCAGCAGGCAGGCAGCCTTTGCTGTCTCCCCACCGTGTCCAGGTGCAGGGGAGCTGGGGGATGGGTGTCACCGGCTCGGTCCCCTTGCAGACTGACTGCTGCTGGTGTTCCCTACAAAAGTCACACTTGCTCTGCCATCAAAGTTCTAGAGCAAGGTTGGCCACCGAACGCAAGCTCCTCTGCTGAGCCGCACTTTCTGGGCACGCCGTGACCCCGATCTACGCCCACTTGGTCTTTCCAGGTTAGAGGGACCCCTCAGATCTCAGCACCATGGACGCCTGGCGCTTCTCATCCCTGACACCCTGCCAGCTCAGGAAAGATTTCATAATTAAAAATGTAAAAATGTTAATTACCTGAAGATACTCCTGATGGGTAGCGCTGATCAGGAGGGAAATTGATGGTATTAAAACAGGGAACATTATTAGCTTCCGCAATATTCACAGGAGATGGGTCTCTCAAGGGCTCCGTGTGTGGTCATGACGCTGGGTGCCTCTTCCCACGTTCTGTGTGTCGTTGGCAGGAGAACGTGCGTGGAACTGGGCCGTGGTCACAGGGGAGGGTGTGTCTCCAGGTGACCCACATACTTGGGGGCACAGGAATGGGCGGGAGGAGTGGGAGGAAGAGTCCATGTAGCGTTGATACCATGTGGCCACAGGAGAGAGAGGTGTGGGGTGGAGCTAGGGGGTTCTGCTGAGGATCTGGGCAGGGTCCGGTGGGGGTGCTGTGCCGTGTGAGCCTCTGTGCCTCTCCCTCGTTGAGGGGTGTCTCCTCAGCTGGTGTGGACCCAGCAGCTCAGGTGTGTCTATCAATCTGCTCTCTCGGTGCCCTGGCTGCGTGGCTGTGTCCCAACAGAACTTTATGTCTGGACGTGGAAGTCTGCATTTCACAGTTTTTGTCGTCACACGTGAAATCCATCCTGGGCTCCGGGCTGGACGGGACCAAGATCCTGGTTCTCCGGCGCTGGCTGCCTGGAAGCGTCTCAGGATGTTCACTGGCAAACCTGGTGCCTGACCAATTCCGTGTGTCCCGAACCCTAGCAGCTGGACTTGCTGTCGTGTTGGGACCAAACCACAGTGTGCAGGAGAAGGCAAGAACTGAGAAGCCTTTGTGGGTCACAGGTTTTAATTCAACTTAGGTAAGAATTCAAGTCATTTCCCAAACTCCGGCATATTATCAAACTGTTTTTTTTTTTTATCTTCACCCGAGGACATTTTTCCATTTTTTGTTCAGATAGAGTAGGAAGGAGAGAGAAAGAGAGAGAAACATCGATGTGAAAGGGACACATTGAGTGGCTGCTACCCGCACGACCCAACCAGGGCCGGGGACAACCGAAGTACATGCCCTTAGCGGGAACCGAACCCGGGTCTCTCTGGACCGCAGGCCGACGCTCTAACCGCTGAGCCAAACCGGCCAGGGCCAGACTGGTTTTATGCAACGTATAGACAAGCGCTCACATGGACCCTCATTCATTCATGGGCTCGTGCGTTCATTCACGGGACAAGCATGACTCGAATGTCTCATTGTGTGTCAGGCACGACTGGCCCTTGGAGGTACAGCTGGAGGAGGTTAGGCAAGACCCCAGGAGGCCGGCGACGTTTACCTGCCGCTGTCATCCGCATCAAGAGCTGTTGTCTCACTGACTCACCCGTGTCCCTTGGACCTTTGGGGCGGGCTGTCAGCTACCAGTGTCCCCTCTTTCTGTCTGACGGGATTCTCCCCTCCTGCCTCCTCTCCAGCCGTGGAAAACGTAGGGGCGGCGGCAGGTAGGGCCCACCTCCACCGCGGACTTCAGGAGCTGATGTATAAATACCCCAGGTTCCTTGCCTTTTTACAAAGTTAAAATAGCTTCATTGGTTTGAATTTTCGATGATTATGAGTCCTTCCATGACTATAAAATGATCAGAAGATATCTGAAAATTAAAGTGAAAATTACCCAGAGAGGACTGTTGTTAGTGGTTTGTGGTGTAATGTACAGACCGCCTGGTGCCACTCACTATTCATGCTGTTTGGCAGTGGTTTGGGGTTGTTTGATAAATATCCCGAATAGCTTTCCATAAAAATAAGTTAAACAATCTCGCCCTGGCCGGTTTGGTTTGGCTCAGCGGTTAGAGCGTCGGCCTGCGGTCCTGAGAGACCCGGGTTCGGTTCCCGCTAAGGGCACGTACCTCGGTTGCAGTTTGTCCCCGGCCCAGGTTGTGCGGGTGGCAGCCACTCGATGTGTCCCTTCACATCGATGTTTCTCTCTCTCTCTCTGTTCCTCTCTCTCCCTCCCACTCTACCTGAACAAAAAATGGAAAAATGTCCTCTGGTGAGGATAAAAAAATAATAATAATAAATAAATAAAAAAATAAAAGAGAAAAAAAAATAAGTTAAACAATCTTTTCACCCTTAAAAATGACACAATATTCTATTGCATTTATTTATCTATATTCTCATTATTGAATATTGAGTTTGTTTCCACCTTTTGCTATTATAAACAATATTGAGATGAACATCCTGGTTTCATTATTATTATTATTATTATTATTATTATTATTATTATTATTTTTACTATGTCCTTCCAATTGTTTGGTCAAAGGTGTTGATATTGAAATGGCTTGTATCACATGTGGCCAAATTACCATCTCAAGAGGCTACCGTATTCCCAACAGCAATATAGAAGCATCTAGTTTTTCCTACACTGTAATCATCACAAGGATCAATGAATCCTTTTGATCTGTGTCAGGTTGGTAGTTAAACACGGTAATTTATTATTTTAATTTATATTTGATTATTAGGAAGGGCACACCTCTTTTTGTGTATTTATCATTCATTTGCATTTCTTTAACATCTGAGACTGTACTTTTCAGGCAGGTTAAGGATGTGAGGTTTCTGTGGCTGTCCCTTCGGAGTGGCTGAGAACAACAGGCACTTTCCCTGCAGTATCCTACTGTGGTGGGTGGGGGCTGGGGAGGAAGGTGTTGAACCTGCTCCCCCCCGGTCAGCAGGGGTTTAGCTGGGCTCCGCGCCTGATCCACTGAGCCATTTTGCAAATGATGATTTGACCTTGGATTGTCTTCTTGGCTCTGATGTGGCGCTTCCCAGAGATGCTCTTTCAGTAACACTTGCTCCCTGGCCATCTGAGAATGACTCCAGGTGACCTGCGTGGCCGGAATCCAGGACTCCCCCTCCCACTAAGATTGCCCGAAGCACCGCTGCATGGTCCTGCAAGAGCAGAGGACTGGGGAGCACAGACTTGTCCACGACATGTGTCTGGCTTGGCACAACCCATGGCTAGGATCCAGCTTTTCATGCTCCTTCTCTTACGTCATAATAGCGCACCCTGAAATGACCAGCTGTCATGGCCCAATCAGCATCTCAACGTCTGAGGGCTTAGCTGCAGGCTCTCCTGCTTTCCGTTCCTTCACTCACTCCCCAAACACTGGTTGTAGACTAACCACGTGCAGGCGGTTTTCAGCATTGGGTTTGAGTCCAAGCCTATCACTTACCGATCCTGTTGAAGAGATGTACCCGCTAGACCTCAGTTTCTTTCTTTCTTTTTTTTGTTATCCTCACCCGAGGACATTTTTCCATTTTTTGTTCAGCTAGAGTGAGGGGGTGCAGAGAGAGAAACATCGGCGTGAAAGAGACACATCGAGTGGCTGCCACCCACACAACCCAACCAGGACCGGGGACAAACTGCAACCAAGGTACATGCCCTTAGCGGGAACCGAACCCAGGTCTCTCTGGACCATAGGCCGATGTTCTAACCGCTGAGCCAAACCAGCCAGGGGTAGACCTCAGTGTCTTCATCTCTAGAGGGGAGTGACTTTAAGAGCAAGGGGGGAAGTGCCAGCCCAGGCCAGCGGGGTTTGTTGTTGGAGAGAGGTTATCTTGGCTCCTTGGTGGAAGGCCACAGCGATGCTGGGCTCCCCAGGAGCTCTGCCTGCCTTCTCCTTGGAACGGGGTGGCAGATCAAAGCGCCTCCTGTTCGTGGGGTCTCCAAGACCCTCCAGCCACAGCGTTCTGCCGTCCTGTGACACCTGCTCTCTGACCCAAGTTGGGGCCTAGAAGCTACCAGCCCTCAGTTCTGGTGAGGGGGCTCAGCAGGACTCTCCCAGGGAAATGCGGCTGCCGCTCGCTTTCGCTGGTGCTGTGCGCTCCCGCGTGGGGCACGAGCCGCCGGGTTTGACTTTAAATAAGTCACACGGCTTCTCGTCTCCTTCTGCTCTCCCCAGGCTCAGCTCCCACCCTGTCCCCGGTGCCCATCCACCTGCAAATCAAAAGACGAGCTCTCTGCTATTCCGGGAGTCCTGCTTTGGTTGACGACGTGCTGAATAGCCAGGGTATCTGGGGTTTTGAAATAAAATTTCTTCTTCTGACTGCAACAGATTCGCATCTAATCAAAACGCTTAATTAAAAAAATACTCAGGTACTTAATTTGATTTGCTTATTTGCATAATATTGGAGGACAAAAGAAATCTGTTCCATAGCCCACATCTCTGCTGCAGGCCGAGCTCTGCCCCCTGTGAGCTGCCCAACTCTTCCTGGCTATAATCGGGGCTGACCTTGGGGCTGACCTTGGGGGAGACAGGCTCGCTCCCGTCAATGTGATTCAGCTGCTGGGGTGGTGGGGGTTACTCTACATGTAGGAAGATCCTGGAAATGACTTTGTAGGAAAAAAGGCTTTTGTCCGATATTTCCAATGCAGATTCTCTAAAAGTGGACGCCTTTTGCCTGTGTTGAGACTGTGGAATGGAATTCGAAGTCAGAAGCTTTAAGGAATAAGCTTGATGGGGGGGGGGGGGGGGGCAGCAGTGGGGATGGGTTACTGGAGGCAAGTTACCGTTCTCATATCTGGTCTGTGCCAGCCTTGGCTGACATTGGTTTCCTAGGTTGGCCCATCCACCTGCCCACATTGGAGTGCCCTGCTGGCATCTGAGGACAATCATTCAAAGCAGATTCATCCTAAGGACCAAATATCAACACTGAGAGGGATCAAAAGTTCCACTTCAACAGTATTGACATTAAGCACCTGAGCCAAGTCCCACAGGGGACCTGCGTGTTCTGGTCCCAGGTCAGACAGCTGGGCAATGTGCTCCCCGGCCAGCAGGGGGAGCCCCCGAGTCTCAAGGGGAGCCAGGCCTGCAGCCAGATCCCAGCCAAGAACACAGGAAAGGAGGGAACTCAGGAAAAACTCACCTGCTGAAAAAGGCAGCTTCGCGGATCTGCACAGCCATTTACACTGCACGTTCAACGCCGTTCAGAAAAAAGGTAAAATTGGGCCATCAGACTGTTGAAAAATGTTTGTGTCCATTTTATTATTAAAAAATGGAGTTTGATAAGAGTGTTTTTCCCCTCAAATGGTCTGAGTGATTGCTTAGAAGAGCCGCATTTCATGTCTTTTAATTTTGAATTATCCTCTTATCTGTAATAAAGCACCCGTCAAGCCCAGAGTGAGTATTCAGGAAGAAAGAACTTAATGAGCTGAAACATTCCTGTCTGGGGTAGAGAGAGCGTCTTCTCTGCTTAAGTGTTCAGGTGGAATCTGTAAGGGGAGAGGCAGAATATTGGGTGGGACCAAGTGGGAACCGGTAGGTTGGCCCCTCCCCATTTCCTGTGGGCATCCTAAGCCCATTCGCCTGGCAGCACCGACCTGTCCAGTGAGTTCAAGTTCAGGCGCTCAGTGCAGAGCGTGGGCTCGTCATTTCAGACACGCTGGCTTCTTCTGTGAGCGAGAGTTAAGGACAAGCGTCGCCTTCCTTGCCGGCTGTTTCTGGCCTCAGATACTCTGTGATACATCATCTGCAGCAGGCGACTTTGGAAAGAGCTGACTATTAGCAACTTAATTGCCCTTGAATATACAATGCAGCGAGTGCTCAGGGCTCGCGGACCGACTGCCAGCCGGCAGCGGAATCACCACAAATGGCCTCCTGGGCTACATCCGTGTTGAAGTTTTAAAGAAGAAATGAAAGAAGACGTGGCTGTTCGTGGGAGTTTTAGCAGGAGTTTAACAACTGTTTTTCACTCTGTTTTCGGCAACGGTTAGGATTCTGGCTCTGTGTGAAGGGCAGTCAGTATCTAGTGTGTGGATACACAGACACTCTAAGTAGCACCATCCAAGTGTCCAACTTATTGGATTATAGATGTAGGAAAAATCTTTAAAATATACATCAAATAATAATGGGTTCATGACAAAGCCTATTTATTAGAGGTGATTTTTTTTTTTATCACGTTCCGAGAAATATATTATCTAGGATGAAAAGTACATGCAGCAGGACCTCGATTATGTAGCAAGTTGGATTTTGAAACCTCGAGTATTGACAACAATGCAAGGCAGGAATTTGAGTAGCCAGCAAGATCTGAGTTCCCTTTATGCCCAGAGTTGCCCCAAACAGGTATCTCATCTACAATGGCAGTGTCTCTGGGGATAAGCAAAGGGCACCGTTTTCGTTTGGGTGATTTATAAGAAGAATTAGTGGAGAAGACTGGTCAGTATGCACGTCTTGACATAAAACATTAAATAGGTTAATGAGATGAATGTTGCGCCTAGACTATTACATGGTGTTGGTCTTGGATAGTTATGGGTGCTAACAGTTTTTGAACTCTGATGACCATCAAAGGACACAGAGCATTTCTTCAAATTCATGCGCAGTAAAATTGACTCAAAATAGTTTAATGAATTATAACAGATTGTACAGGTTCCTGTAACCAGCAGCACAATCAGGACTCGGAGTAGTTCCATTCCAAACAGTCTCCCCAAAACTGTTTCCTTTCAAACACATGCCGGCGACTGTGACAGGCGTCCCACTACGGCGGGTCTGTCTTTCGGAGGACAAACAGGCGGAATCATGCAGTAGGTCCCTTTGGGGGACTGGTCTGGAGATTCAGCCACGATATTGTGTCCATCAGTCATTTGTGTCTTTAATTTCTGGTTCCTAACCCACTGGGCATGCACCCCAGCTTGGTATCCATTCACTAGATGAGGACTTCGGGGTTGTTTGTAGGTTTTGGTGACAATGAGTTGAACTGCTCTGGATACTTGTACACAGATTTTTGTTGAACATCAATTCTCATTTCTCAAAGGAAACCACCTACGATTGCTTATGTGTATCAGTATATGTTTAAGTTCAGAAGAAACGCCTGTTTTCTGGCGAGGCTGAACTGGTTTGGATCCCCAGCAGCCGTGCTGGGGGGGCCCAGGGGCTCTGCACCTTGTCAGCGCGAGGTACTGGGAGGAGTTTCAGCCGTTTTAACAGGTGTGCCGTGGTGCCTCAGTGGACGTTCATTTACATTTGCCTGGTGGCTGGAAATATTGACCACCTTCTTCTGTGCTAATTTGTCATACGCCGTTTAGTGAAGTACCTGTTCAAGTCCTGTGCCCATTTTAAAAGTGGGTTGTGTTTCCTTACTCGTGAGCCTCAAGAGTTCTTTATATGTTCTGAATACCGGTCATTGCTAAATATGTCAGTTACAAATCTTTTCTCCCTGTCCGTAATTTGTCTTTTCATTCTTTCCAAAGTTTATCCCAGAGAGCAAAATTTATTTATTTATTTTTGCATGCAGCAAAAGCTTTTAATTTTGATGCATTCCAATTTATCAGATTTTTGCCTAACGCCAGTACATCAAGATTTTCTCTCTCTCTTTTAAACATATTTTATAGTTTTATATTTTACTTTTAGATCTATGTTCTATTTTGAGCTATTGCTTGTGTAAGGTGTGAGGTTTAGGTCAATGTTGTTATTGTTACTATTATTTTATTTGCTTATAGGTGTGTCCAGTGTAATTTGTTTCAACACCCTTTCTCTACCTTTCCATAGACATTTTAGAATTAGCTTGCCTGTGTCTTAAACATTTTTTTCCGCTAAGATTTTGGTTGAAATTATATTAATCAGACATCATTTTGAGAAGAACTGACATATTTACTAGGGTGATCCTTCCAATTCCTTACGTGTCAGGTCTGTTTAGGTATTCTTTGATTTCTTCTATTAGCATTTTGTATTTTTTAGATTCTGTACGGATCCATGCATAGATACTGTACATATTTTGTTAGATATGTACATAAGTATCTTATTTTGAAGGGATCTATCGTAAATGGTTTTTATTTTTTAAATTTTAATTTTGATTTCCAATTTTTTTATGGCTACTATGGAGAAACACAATTAGTGAATGTGTGTGTGTGTGTGTGTGTGTGTGTGTGTGTGTGAAATCCTTGGGGATTTTCTATATAGACAATCACATTGCCTATGATTAGGTACAGTTGTATTTCTTTCTTTATTTCTTTCTTTCCAATCTTGGTAGCTTCTGATTTAGTCTACCCAGGCTTCTGCAACATAATACCGCAGTCAGGTGGCTTAGCCAACAGGCACTGTGTCTCACAATTCTGTGGAGTCCGGAGAGGGCTCTTCTTTGGATTGCGGATGACCTCCCTCATGCTGTGAGCTCACATGGCCCTCGCACAGTGTGCACGCTCTCTGGTGTCCTCTTCCTGGGGACACTAACCCTCTCTGATCAGGGCCCCACCCCGAGGACCTCATTTAACTTTGATGATGTCCTTAGCGTTCCCGTCTCCAAATACAGCCACACTGGGAGTTAGGGCTTCAACAAATGGATTGTGAGGGAACACGAGCATTCAGCCCTCAGCACCTTTTATTCTTTTTTGTCTTATTGCAATGACTACGGCTTCCAGTAGGATACTGAAGAGGAGTGGAGAGTGGACATCGGGCCTTGTTCACGATCTCGGGCAGGGAGTCAGCTTTCCATGTGTAAGTGACGTTCACAGGAGGTGCTTCTCAGATGCCATTTATTAGGTGGAAGATGTCCCGCCTATTTCTAGTTTTCTGAGAGTTTTAAAAAAGTTGTGAGTAAGCACAGGTCAGTGTGGCTCAGTTGGTTGGGCATCGTCCCATGCACTGAAGGGTTGCCACTTCGATTCCTGGTCAGGGCACGTGCCCCGGTTACAGGCTCGATCCCAGTTGAGGGCATGTTGGAGGCAGCCAATTGATGTTTCTCTCTTGCATTGATGTTTCTCTCTCTCTCTCTCTGCCGCTCCCTTCCCCTCTCTCTCTAAAAATCAATAAAATCTTTTAAAAATCATGAATGAATTTTGTTAAATGCATTTTATTTTTTGCAATAGTTGAAATGATCACGTGTGTTTTCTTCTTTATACTCTCAATATGGTGGACGACACTGATTGACTTGCGAATATTGGACCAGTGTCGCATGACCAGGATGAACTCCACTCGGTCAGGGACTATTCTTTATTTTACCTCTTGCTAGATTTGGTTTGCTAATATTTTGTTGAGGATTTCTCTATCTGTATTCACCAGGGATATTAGTTTGTGGTTTTGTTTTCTTGTACTGTCTTTGTCTGATTTAGTGATCAGGGTAATGATGGCCTCGTGAAAAATGGGTTGAGAAGCGTTTCCTTGCTGTCTGTTTTTTAGAAGGGATTGTGTAGAATTGGTGTTATTTCTTCTTTAAATGTTTGGTAAAGATCACCAATGAAACTTCCAGGGTCTGGAGGTGTCTTCTGTGGAAAATTGTAAACTACAAATCAAATCATTTAAAGTTGTAGGACTATTCAGTTTTTCTCTTTCATCTTGGGTGAGTTTTAGCAGAATTTGGTTTTGGGGAATTGATTCATTTAATCTAAATTGCTTTTTGAGAGTAGGATTATTGTTAGTATTTCTTTACTATCTTTTTAATATCTGCCAAGCCTGTCTATCAATACCCTCTTTTATTCCTGGTATTGATTATTTGAGTCCTCTCTCTCTCCCCCTCTCATTAGTCAGGCTGAAGTTTATCAATTTTATTGATCTTTTTAAAGAACCAGGTTTTTGCTTCATTGATTTTTTTTCTTATTATTTTCTTCTTTATAATTTCACTTATTTTTATTCTTATTTTTAATGTTCTCTTCCTTCTCTTTGCTTTGGGTTCATTTTGTTCCTCCCCCTTCACCTAGTTTCTTAAAGTAGAAGCTTAGACTATTGATCTGAGGCCTTTTACATTTTCTAATATGAGCCTTTAATGCAATAAATTTCCCTCTGAGCCACTCCAGTGTCGTGAAGAGGACAAATAGCAAGAAGTCAAGCCATCTTCAGGAAGGCAAATTCCAGGTTGTTTTTGTTTCCCCAGCCAACCCAGTTTTAAAAAATTCACACTGTGTCTGCAGAGCTGGGCTGGAGAAGGGCCCAGAGCCCATCACATGTCCCTCACAGCACGTGTGCATTGCTGTGGCATGGTTGTGACCTTGACTCTTGAAGAAAAAGTTA